GGTACGGATTCAAAACCCTCTGCCTTTCTCCTTTCTTTCTTGCAGCGGTTCTCAACCTGTGGGTCGCGACCCTTTCACAGGGGTCGCCTAAGACCATCGGAAAACACATATATAATTACATATTGTTTTTGTGATTAATCACTAAGCTTTATGTTCAATTTGTAACAATGAAATTGGGGGTCACCACATGAGGAACTGTATTAAAGGGTCATTACAAAGCCTCTCTTTGCCACACTCCCTCCTCATTCTCTTTCTCCCTTTCACCAGGTTCATCTATTTGCTTTAAAATAACCCCTCAATTGAAAATTGAAAACAATTCTTTTTGAGGCCGTTTTATCTTCCTTCTGAAGAGCCGTGCTGGTTTGGCGCAGTGGATTGAGCGCCGGCCTGCAGACTGAAGGGTCTGAGGTTCGGTACCAGAGAGAGAGAGGGAGGAAGATGAGGGGAAGAAAAAGATGAGGGGGAGAGGAAGACGAGGGGGGAGAGGAAGTATTCTTCACTGCAGTATGTGACACGATATAATTTGAAGACATTAAAGTTAGGTAAAGCTCCAGCCTGAGGAATAGAGAACAGGATGTCTTCGAAGGAGATCAGAAAGGATCAAAGCAGTTGGTCCCCTAAGGAGAATGAATGCAAATAAAGATGCGGGAAGGTGATGGAGAAGAGGTACCGGTAAACGTCCTGAGCAACAGCTTTGTCCAGGGCCAATGCTGTAGACACACCGCATTTTAAAACAGCATTAATCCTATTGTCAAGACCCTCTCACAGAGTAAAAATAGTACCAATGGTGGCCTTTAAAAGTTACATCCTTTCATCTACTCTCTATGGTTGTTTGATACAGTCAGGAAGATTCTGAACAGGGCTTTATTTTAGCTTTGCTCTCATGAAGGTCTCATAAACTCAATTACTTAATATTCCTTAGGAATTATAGCTTGAAATAATTACTAATTTTCTAATTTTTCATTAGAAAAATTTAGCAGTGTTCATTCTAGCTATCTTGAATAGATTCTTATTCTAAAGTTGCTGAATGTTTTAATTGTCCTTTTATTATGAGAAACATGTTGTATGATGTTTTGCACATCAGAGGAGATGCGCATACAGATACTTTGAATACAATAGATCACTATACAATATACAGAATATTTTCCTTGGACTTATTCTGTCTTTTCAATAATGATATTAGGCATGCTGTATGTAATCAGCTAGATCTGTCACTTCTAATTCCTGTTTTTGTGTATTTCTTTAATTCTCACTTAAGGATATATTTTTTATTGCTTTTTCAGAAAGAGTGGAAGGGAGGGAGAGAGAAACATCAATGTGAGAGAGACACATCCAACTGGGGCCAGGGGTTGACTGGCAACCCAGGAGGGCTGATGCTCACTGAGTACCAGTCAGGACTTGTTTTTTGTTTGTTTGTTTTCATTTAACTCTTTAGGGAGAATTGGTTTTTCTGCTCTCCTGGTGAGCCCAAAGCTGAGACACTTCTCATGTATGCCTGAGGCCTGGTTCAGCTTTCTTCCCCAGGAGGGGATATAGACTCAATGTGAAGTGTGGTCAAGAACCAGTAGGACCAAAGTTTGTAAACATTTTTTCAACCAGAGGAACATGAAGAGATTGAGCAAGCTCTTTCTGAGTATGGATATAAGCTCAAACATAAAATAATGGGAACAAGAGAAATAGAGCTTACTTTAATCTTATATCACACTTTGCAGATTCACTGGCAGATAAGCTTCCCTAATTACTGACTTAGGGGCCAAGAACCTACACTAAATATGCTGCATCTATTCCCGTTCAATATGGCCTCCTCGCTCCTGATAACTTTCTACATCCTTGGCTAAATAGATCAGGAACTTAATCTAACCTTATCTTATCTGCTTGCATATTTTAGTCTTCCTGCTAACCCTGAGCCCAACTGAAAAACCCTTCTATTTACATACTCCAGTGCCTTTTCACAATTTTCCAGTAAGCAGTGGTTTTACATTCATTGAAGACAATCAAACTTGGGAATATTTTTTCAATATACAAATGATTCTAAGTATCAAAATGAAGAAAGTAGAATTAGGTTACATTTGCTAAAAATTATCATATAGGATAATGTTTAAAATACATAACTGCGATCAAATTTAAGTTCGCTGATGAGATTGCTACCCTAATGGCTCTCTTTAGATGTCCTAGCCTTCATCTACAGAAACAAGACTTCCTCGACAGTACACATATCTGCTAGTTCATTGATATTGTTGTAAACAACCTGGGTTATTCATTATCAGGGAAGGAGCAAAGGGAAGGCAAATATTATAGGCAAGATTGGGTGACAGAGGGAAGGTATTTTCCTGTCAGTTACACCTGGGAACAGGACCACTGCAAAACAGGAAGATTTGAGATACATAAGCACCTAAACAAAGGAGTTCTCCCTCTTGGTTCTAGCTCCAGGCTGTGGGCCATGTGGACTCCACACAATGGACTGATGGACTAGAACTAGCCTGATGCTGTGCTGGACCCAGCTCCACCATGGAATGGAAACTCTGGGCACTGGCTTTGCTTCTAGCTCTGCTAAGCCCCAGCTGCACCACTTCCGGGACTGGTTGAAGGGAAATGGGACTTCAGAAATGCAGGGATGTAATTCCATGCAAATAAAGATCACTCATCCTCCCATATGAACCTTAGAAAATTCTTTTGCTCAAGATATTATGAGGACCCAACCCCTCAATATTCAGTGGGAAAAGGGATCTCCCACTTCCACCAGGGAACACCCCACTTCCACCGATAGCAAAATGGTATCTATTATGTCCACAGAACTCTTTGCTAGTTGGTAAAGATATCAATGAAGGATACAAAGAAACTTTCTTAATTGTAATTACTAGACAATATACTTAGATTCTTAATATGAAATCTAATAAAACACCATGAAATTAAGAACATGCCCATCGGCACACATCAGAAATTATTAAAAAGAGGGACAGGAATGGGGAAACTCAAAGAAGCAAACAGGGTATTCAATGCTGTATACAATAATAAACCACCTTATTATTTCAATCACTTAATGCAAGATTGATTTCTTCCTCAGCTCACAATCCAATGTGGGTTGGCAAGAGATTTTGCTCTTCGCAAATTCAAGCATCCAGGGGCACCAGGAAAGAGAAAAGAAAACTCATAGAGAAAGCACACCTGCTATTTATGCTGTGGTTTGCTCATTAACACTGGTTAAGCTGATCAAACGCTCTGCAGTATACTTAGCCCAGGAAGAGGAAACTGACCGGTGAACATTACCCATCTCTGCCATACCCATCATCCATTCTAATGAATACATTTTTTAAGTCAAAATAATTTCATGACATTAAACAAAATATTAATTTGAAAATTTTGCTTTGAGGGCAATTAAAAGAAAAATGTAGGCAGTTATGGACACAATATGAAGCATTTTGTTTTCCATTTTCTGGTGATTTCCAATAAAACTATAGTTAATTATATTTGATGTTGTAAAAGAAAAGATTATATTTTAGAGGTGCTCTATAAGAAATGAACTTTAGCATTTTTATAAAAGGTTAAATAAAAATGTGCTATTCAATAAAAAATAGCAGGTACATATCCTGATAACAGCAGTTCAACATTTAAATCCTAGATTAGATGATCAAACTTGAACAGCCAACATTTTAATAACTGTCTCCCCCAGTGTATCTCAAATGCACTCTATTAGCAAACACGACAGTCCAATTATTTCCATGGTGCTTAGCATTTCATGATGGCCAATTGCCAATAGAAGATTATGGGGTGGGAAACATGCCAAAGAAATTAACTGATTTTAAAGGCTAAAATATTGCTAGTGCTGAAAATTTAGGTTTATATGAAGCTAACGACCTTGACCCTGTTTAAACTCATCTGATAAGTAAATATATTGGCACCGACTTAAGTAATAACTCTCTTACTATCCTGCCAAAGAAAAGTAGATGTCAATTTTGTTATAAAGAACATTAGTAAAATTCTATGTCACATAAAAGTAAATATTAATTTATCACTTGAAAATAGAAAACAATTTAAAAATGCACTGATAACCCACGGTACATCAATCTGGTCTACATCACTAAATCTAGAATATGAAAAATTAACCTATTAAAACAGAAAGAAAACAAAGAAAAATTGGACAAACTACAAAAATATGTCTAACATTGGATTGTTCAGGACTTTTATTTCTTTTCTGTTATATTTAACTAGCAAGGAAAACATGAGTAGAAAATATAATCTGTTACTCCCACAAAAATCTGAATGAGGGAAAAGATTAGAACCATAGGTAACCAAGTGCCTGATCCACAGTAGGAATTTAATTAAGGCATATTGAGTGACTAAATGAATAAATCAATAATAGAGTTGAAAGAGGACTGAATTTAAAGGTTCCAGGCCATGCTAACACCAACTAGCCACACAATGGCAAATAGGTATAATTGATTGAATGTCTAGAAGAGCAAATTAGAGCACCCCATAATTTAATAATCATAAATTCAAGTAGAATTCTGTTGGGAAGTTAACATGAATTTATGAGACTTACTCTACCTTCCCATATTCTTTGGCATGAGAAGGCATAACTATAAAGATTACATTTTTAAAAAAATATATTTTACTGATTTTTTACAGAGAGGGAGAGAGAGAGGGATAGAGAGTCAGAAACATCAATGAGAGAGAAACATCGATTCAGCTGCCTCCTGCACACTCCCTACTGGGGATGTGCCCGTAACCAAGGTACATGCCCTTGATCGGAATCGAACCTGGGACCCTTCAGTCCGCAGTCTGACGCTCTATCCACTGAGCCAAACCAGTTAGGGCTAAAGATTAAATTTTGAAAACAGATATTCAAAGTTTTATATATGTGCACTTAAATTTTCATAAATTTGTATACATTGTATAATAAAAATAGTTTATTACAATTCTGTACAATGTATGAGGTCCCTTCACAAATTAAAAATAAATTTGTCCTACAGACTTATACTTTAAAGAATTGAAAACAAAACTGAGAGGCAAGAGAGGACTGTATTTATTTCTACTCTAAAGAGTATTCTTAAAATAAAGATAGGTGCAAAAATAATTGTGTTAGCAATACAATAGCTAACATGTTAATAGCTACTGTTGGCATTTATTCACCAAATTGCTCATTGTTTATGTCACTGTTCATAAGATATTTATCAAACGAAAATCAAAGCTTTCTGGCTCCAGCTGAAGTCACTTTTCCAAATTGTAATTGTTATTATCTAGATCTTACTTCACTTTCCAGTCAAAATCACCAATGGATATTACAAAATTAAGTTACAGTTTCTTCTCCACTAGCATTTCTAATTACCATGTAAGAAATTTTAAAAAAGAAATAAAGCTGTAAGTTACTTAGGACCAATAACAATACTCAGGAACAGAATGGAAAGGAATGAACCCATAAACATGTATTACAGGTTCTGTGGAACAGCTTTTCAAAATTAAGTTTGAAGTACACTACTAGTAAGCTTGGTGTTTTGGGTCACCTAGGACTCTCTTACTTACATCAGCCAGAGATAAAGTGAGCAATATGTCAAATTAACTTGCTCAATTTTCTTTCCTCAACTTTTTCAATGCCCTTTAGGAAAACCATTACTGAGAAGCTACTGTTGGCATTTACAACATAAGACCTGATTTTGGAAGGTTGGTATTGCAATAGCTTACATACCACAAAATTGAAAACTGTACAGTACCAGATGTTTCAATATCCTAAAAGGAAAATGAGTTTGTGGGGGAGCCATTTTGGGTTGAAAAGGGGGGCGGGGGGAGGAGCTCCAGAATGGTTTTAATGGTTGACTTAAAAACTTGTTGAAATTGCTGACTGAAAAATTAACAATTTAATATTTTTATGTATTATCTTTTATATATTAAATGTGGCAGTTATAATATAAGAAAATAGACCCTAACATATTATATTAATCTCATTGAAGCAGAGACTTCTATTTAAATAAAACATATTGTTGGTAATTTAAAATAATTTAGAAATCTATTCCTCTTAATGTTTTCAATTCAGTACAAATCAAATCTATCACCAAGAAAAAAGCATAACTAATGAGAGTGAAATGCTTATCAGTATGAAATAACTAATCTATCTTTTAAATGAACCATGTAGAGACTACATTTCATATGGAGAATTATAAATTGATATAGGTATCAAAAGCAATTCCTAGAAAAACAATTATGTCTGGGGATGACATTTTTCCTACAACTTGCCATGATAAATATCATTTGTTCCTCCACATGTCAAATAAGCAGCTGTGGTTTTGTCTATTTTCCTTAAATGTGCAGAAAAAATTCAAAAAAAAATAATAAAGAAAACAATTGTCTTTTCCTTGACTCTATGGACTCTTTCTGGCTAGTAAAGAAATCATTTACAATATTGCTGTTTCTTTCCAAACTCGTTAAAAAGATATTTTAAACACCTGGTGAAACAGGAGATCTAGGTAGGAAATACCTATGAAACATGAAGGGCCGTAAGTTAGCTAGATCTGATTCTATAACAACCATACAAAAAAAGGCAATCTTATAAAAATGAATTCATTTCATATCAAAAATTGAGCAAATGCCTACTTGAATACATTACATTAATAAACTCAGTACTGATTTATAATATGTATATTCCACAAAGCATATGTTGTTATGAATGCAGATAGGCAACAATAGTGTCCCTTCATTTCCTTTTAAAATAAACAAAACATAAAATTAAGTTGTGTGTCTCATGATCTATGTGCTTTGCACTCTAATGTTCCGCATGTCTCTCAGCAATACTGGTCGGTAGTTTTGTTCCAAAATTTCCATGTATTCAAAGTAATCACTCACTCGAAACCCATGCAGTGCTTCTTCCTGTCAAAAAATGTAAAGGAGCAGTTCATTAGTTCAGATAGACACACAATTCTAAGTTTATAAACTTTAAATAGTTGATGTATCACTTTTTTCAGCTACAAACAAGGAATTTCATGTTGTTAGTAAATGTGTACTGTTTTTTATTTAGTAGGCTGTGTATGTATATGATAGCAAGAAATCATGTATCTATAAAACAAGGTTGTCTGTTTTCAAACCAAAAAATGCTCTACAGCTAACAAAAAATAAAACAAACTCTTAGATAATGAAATCTTCCTAAGAGATAATGAAATCTTCTTAAGAAGACATACAAATGGCCAAGAGATACATGGAAAGATGCTTCACTATTAGGGAAATGCTAATCAAAACTACAATGAGATAACATCTCACAACTAGAATGGCTATTATCAACAAGTCAAGTAATAGCCATTCAAGTGGTTGTGGAGAAAAGAACTCTCATTCACTGCTGATGGGAATGTAAACTGGTACAGCCACTATGGAAAACAGTAAGGAGCCTCCTCAAAAGCTTAAGAATAGAGCTACCACTGACCCAACCACCTATCAGAAAAACTTGAAAACATTTATCCACAAAGATATACGCACCCCTATGTTCACTGCGGAACTATTCAAAGTGGCCAAGACACGGAATTTACACTGAGATCACTTAACCAATGTGTCCTTCGATGGATGAATGGATAAAGATGTGGTGCATACATACTATGGAATACTATTCAGCCATAAGGAAAGATGAAATACTGCCATTTGTGACAACATGGATGGACCTTCAGAATTTTATGCAAAGCCAAATAAGTCAGTCAGAAAAAAGCTAAGAACCATATATCACTGACAAGTGGAATATAAAACTGAAACTCCTGGACACAGTATGGAGGTTACCAGAGGGAAGGGAGGGGGTGTAGGAAAGAGTAAAGGGAGCCAAATACATGGTGATGGAAGATGATTTGACTTGGAGTGGTGGGCATACAATGCAATATACAGATCATGTATAATAGAAATATATACTTGAAACCTATATAATCTTATTAACCAATGTCACCCAATAAAAAGGAAAAAAGTAAGGTAAGTCACTTTGAGTGGGTTAAATAGGAATAAAGAGTTGATTTTTTTAATCACCAGGAAGTGACACAAAAGTTTACCACAAAAGGTGTAGAATTGACTCTACACTGAGATCATTTAACAAAGAGTTTGCAATAATGTCAAATTTCACATAAGAAGCAACAAATTACATAATAACAGTCACATAAGAGAAGGGGTTTTGTGAACACAGCTCTGCTGTTTACCTTTGGTAGACATGACCCTTTGTATGCTGTGTCTGACCTATAGTATGAAAAATAACCTTACCAGATCAAAGGGGTAGAAACACAAACAACCTACAAGTTATGTTTCTTCTGGTGGGTCACTCCTAGGATGCTTGGTAAAATTAAAAATGCCTGGTTATGGCCCTAGCTGGTTGGTTCATTGGCTAGAGCATCGGCCTATGGACTGAAGGGTCCTGAGTTCGATTCCAGCCAAGGCCGCATGCCAGAGTTATGGGCTCGATCTCCAGTGGGGGGCATGAGGGAGGCAGCCGATCAATGATTCTCTCTCATCATTGATGTTTCTCTCTCTTCCTCTCCATTCCTCTCTGAAATCAATAAAAACATATTTCAAAAACAATACCTGGATATCATATTTCAAAAACTTTTGAATCCTGATTTTGGCATTCTGGATTCAAGCCCCAAAGTTGACATTTTTACATCGTCTAAAAGTTTCAAGCTACTTGAGAATTTGTACTGAAATCTGACAACTGAGGCCTCTGTCATGAAAATTCTGTTTTAAAAGGTCCGGGAGTGTCTAGATATCTGAGCTTAGATAAGCACCCTAGTGATTCTTAGGATCAGGGAAGTTTAAATAGTGTGGTTTTGGATAGAATATGAGGGTCTTAAACATTTAGAATAGAGTATGTGGCTCTGAAAGATTTTTGATTCAGCTGAAAGGCAGATGTAATGACTAGCAAGATGATTCAATTTTGGCTGGGTACATGAAGAAACAGATCTTGATCAGATGCAGTGTAAATGAATGTTCCGGAGGTAGAGCTGAAGGTTATGTCAATGCCAAGTATTACTATATGTTATGTTATACTAAGACCTCTTGGGGCTAAAGGGGGAAAATGGGAACAGAAGTATATAGTCTAGATTTTAACTCAGTAGAAAACCCAGTTTCTTTTGCTGTATTCGCTACACATCTCTTTCTTAAACGATAACAAGAGAGGGATGGGAACGGCATGGAACAGGAATGTAGAAACTCAAATAAGTTATTTTTAAGAACCTGTAATGTGCCCTAACCGATTTGGCTCAGTGGATAGAGCGTCGGCCTGCGGACTGAAAGGTCCCAGGTTCAATTCCGGTCAAGGGCATGTACCTTGGTTGCGGGCACATCCCCAGTAGGTGTGCAGGAAGTAGCTGATTGATGTTTCTCTCTCATTGATGTTTCTAACTCTCTATCCCTCTCCCTTCCTCTCTGTAAAATATCAATACAATATATTTTTTTAAAAAAACCTGTAATGTGCCAGATAATGTTTAAAAGTCCTTTAACAGATATCACCTCATTTCATTCCTCAAAAACCTTATGTAATAGGTATTATTTCACATTCAATTATACAGATGAAGAAACTGAAGCATAGAAAAGTAAAGCAACATGCCCCAGGTTACAGTTAGCAACAGAGCCAGAATTTTAATTCAGGTGACTTCAAGTGATAGAAGGATGGTGCAGAAAACATCTATAAACCACAGTTTACATGATACTGAACATGTTTTACCTATCCCCTCAGATAGTGAATTATTTGTAATATTATGTATACTTTTGTCTCTGAAAGCTTAGCACTCCATTGGTTTTTCTCAGTCTGATCTCCATTTCTTAGCCTGCCAACATGTCCTGGAGCTACAGCTGCAATAGCAACACACAAACAAAATCCCGCTTGACAACTAACTGATTGGGATGAAACTAATCTGATTTTTTCATAATTTTAAATTGATTTGCCAGAATATGCAAGATTTACTTGAACCATTTTAATTAAGAATTTTGAGCCTTCACAGTCTAATATTCACTGGAAGGCAATCTTTTCTTGGCCTGGCATTTCAGTGACGTTTGTCCCCAGGCTGAATTCACAAACTAAAATCAAGATCACTGCCAGCCGCTTGGCATGCTGAGAGGAACGCAATAAGGCCAGTCTGTATGTGTGCCTTCTGTGTGTGCGTGTGTGTGATGGAGACAGAGAGAGGGGGGCACTGCATTAACAACAACACAAACTTTAGATATTCAAACTGGCTGAGATATTTGAGAACACTTATTTTGTTGGATGATATTTTTGTCTGGACTCCAGAATTTCTAAACCATCATCTGTCACAGATAAAAATGTTCAGGACCCCATGTCCAAGGACTATGTTCTTTTTTTTTTAATATATCTTTTATTAATTTCAGAGAGGAAGGGAGAGGGAGAGAGAGAAACATCTATTTTATATAATGACTAGAGGCCCAATGCACGAAATTCGTGCAAGGGGCTGGCCCTCGCAGCACTGGCCAGCCCTCGCAACCCCGGCTTCATTGGAAGGTCGTCCAGAAGGACATCTGGAAGGTTGTTTGGCTGTTCAGTCTAATTAGCATATTAGCTCTTTATTATATAGGATTCCATTTCCTTTTAAAAATTAGTTTATTATAAAAGAAGTATTGGGAGGACAGGTAAGGGGTGGAGGAGGTCCATGGGGGGAAAAAGAGAGAGACATCTGTAATACTTTCAACAATAAAGATTAATATAAAAAATTTTACAAAAAAAGTATGAGCCCATTCTTTTTTTATTTTTTAATATATTTTATTGATTTTTTACAGAGAGGAAGGGAGAGGGATAGAGAGTTAGAAACATCGATGAGAGAGAAACATCAATCAGCTGCCTCCTGCACACTCCCTATTGGGTATGTGCCCGCAACCAAGGTACATGCCCTTGACTGGAATCGAACCTGGGACCCTCGAGTCTGTAGGCCGACGCTCTATCCACTGAGCCAAACCGGTTAGGGCTGAGCCCATTCTTTAAAAATAAAAAACCCATGTAAATACATACAAATATACTATATATAAAAAGTAAAAGTCTCCTATTCTACTTCAGCCTCTTTCCTCTCAGAAGCAATTATTACTAAATATGCAGAGTCAGAAAATAACATGTAATTTAAAAGAATATTAGCCTGGCTATGACAAATACTAATGAGAATTGTTAAGGTTTTTTTTTTCTCCCTTAGTACTAGGCTGAGATTTTAGATCAGAAAGTATAAAGCATAATTTCCAAGGTTTAATCCTTATGACTATAGTTAAAGGAGGAATTTTTGAATAATATAGCTATTCCTGACTTAAGGGATCTTCCAAGGGATATATAAAAAAATCACTTCATTAATCAAAATTTCATTATTGGTTAATATGTCAGTAAGTGAAAAATGATGTACATAAGTTTATGTACTTTGCAAACAAGAAGGCAGGACTTAATGGAGTAGTGAAAGGGGTAGTAAATGCATATTTAAATAAACTACACTGGAATTTATCTCATAAGAAAAGTAACTGCCCACCAAAGAGATCAGTGAAGCTGAGACCTACCTGCTGAAAAAAAAAAAAAAAAGTAAAGTCAATATCCGACAGGCATTTTTTTCTAATCCCTTAGATGACTGCAAACAGCAGGAGTAAGAAATAAGGTTTGTTCCAGGACAAGTACTAACAATTAATCCTTTGCCAGCGTGTCCTTAATTTGGATTTAAACCAATTCAATTAAAATTTCAGTAATTTAAATATGATTTAGTAAAGATAATTTTCTCCTCTCATTTAAAAATTCTTTAGTTTTAAATTGATAGCACTATGTGCAGAGAACAACAGAGTTTTGGGACACGTTTAATGAGGTCAACATTTGCAAACTCTATTACAATTTTCCCGGCAATAGTCAAGAAAGAGATAAAACTGCAATAGTCACCACCATTAATCAGATTTAGAGATGATAAAATATAAAGACACACTTGTGGCAGGAAGGAAGGTAAGTGACAATCATTTGAAGAATTTAGTAATGTTTGATATTCAATGTGAATAAAACTAAGTTCATTCATCTTTCCCTTTATATTTTACATATTTGTTTATTCTATCAACAAGTATTTATTGAGCACCCACTATGTATTAGGTACTGTTCCAGGCATTGAAAACACATTAGTAAACAATATAGACAAAATCAAAGTTTTTGTGGAGCTTACTCATTTTACTGGGGAAGACTGACAAAAATATATATAAAATAATTTCAGCTAGTTACAAACACTGAAAGAAAAATTAAAGTAGGTTAAGAGGATAGAAAATTAGGGAATACACAAATATGAGTTTGGGAAATTTTCACACTCTGAAGCCCCTATAACTGACTATGTAGCTGATGAAAACACTCCTTACTGAAAAGAAATTCACATTTGGTCCTCAACATAATTCCCTTTTGTTTAACCACCCCTGTACTCCAATTACCTCTTGTAGGTCCTTTTTTTCATTTTCTACCTTAGTTTTCCTCCTATATGTACAACCATTGTCTTGGTATCCTTTCTCATTAAGAATGTTTCTAAGATCACAATTCTAGTGATATATGATAATTTGAGACCTTTTTTAATTCAGTACTTATGAAATAAAATACTTGATAGTTTGGCAATCAAATGATCAATGACATTTATTTACAGAAAATCATCACTAAATGGAAAAGAGCTCAGACAAATATGTAATGGTAAAGAATAAAAATAAAATTAATTTACATAGACATTAGTCACTGACCTAGAGAAAAACTAGCAAATGATAAATATTGGTTTTGGTGTATGTATGTCAATGTGTGCCTGTGGGATGATAAAAGTAATAGATGGAGGGAAACATACTTTAAATTCAAGGGAAGATTTTAACTTAAAACAAATAGAGTTGGACTGCCATCAAAAATTGCACACATTTATATATCATGTATTTCCTAAAGCCCAGAGCTTCAAAAGTCACATTATTGTGAATGAGAAAGTAAGCAACTATGTCTTGTTTTAAAATATTAACTTATACATGGACATGACTTTTTTTTAAAGAGTGTTATAAAACCTTTTATAAAAAAAATAGCTGGAAGTTTAGAAAATATAGAATATGAAGGTGTAAGAAAATATATCAAATGTTTTTTTAAAAGTATTAAACCTCTGTATTAACAAAGTAACTTGAACTGTAATTGACTAAGAAAGATACAGAAGTATAAAACCAACACGCCTTTTGCATAGCACACTAGTTAAAAGCAAAATTTTGGATCCAGACAGCTTAACTTCACATCCCAGGTCCATCACCACCTGTATAATTTGGGGCAATTTACTTAATTCGGTTCCTCAGTTTCCTCATCTCTAAAATGGGGATGATACGAGTACCTACCTCAAAAGGTTGTTTTTAGGGTTATATGAGAGTCTAGAAAAGTATATGACATTAAGCACCCCATAAAAATTAGCTAGTATTAATTCTTAACTATTTTCCCTTTAGATAGAAAGACACATACTTTTAGGAAGACCTGCAGATCTTGAGTCTGAGTGTGCTGCAGAATGTCTTGTTGCAGATGTTTGAAGATAGCTATACAGATATACACTTGATAGTCAGGACCAAGGAAAATACAAGTAGCAATATAATGGCAGATTTCTATCCAATCTAAATAATTCCAAAAACACTGAGTTATCCATTGCAGACAAATCTGGGGGGAAAAAAGAAATCAGTTCTTTAGAAAGTTTATATGACCATATTTGACTTTCAAAAAGCAATAACCAATAACTCACATAAAACCAATGAAGAGCTTAGCATTTAATCAAAATAGAAAGACATTCTGCACATAAGCCTACAAGTATGCTTCACCTATTTGCTTAATGCATGAGAAAACTTCCATGGCCTTGGGACTCGGGACTTGGGGGCAACTGATGGTGTTCACACCGTACAAATGCCCATTGCTAAACGCCCTCTTTACTCATCTGTCCTCCTCTTATCCGTAACACCAGTCTGCTCTCTACAGATAACAAATGCCAAGAGACTATTTTAATTCAGAGGTGGAGTTTTTTCCTACCCTACCTATAATCACAGATGTATAATTATGCAGATAACAGATTGCCAAATGTTACATTAATGCAAATGGACTCTCGCTGAATCAGAAAACAATTTAAACCAAACAGAATTATATAACACAAAAACTGAAAGCTAATGAAGGGAATAATTAAAAAATGAGTCTTTCTAAAAAAAATCATATCTCTTACTTTTTGAATAACATTTGTTCTGATATAAAAGAGATACATGTCTGTTGTGGACAAACAGAAAAGTTTAAGAAAAAATAATCACGCAGAGATCAACATTGCTAACATTTTGGTACATTGATGTTATGGATGAAATTGTGTATTCCCTTAAAAAGTAAGTCAAAGTCCTAACCCCAGTACCTATGAATGTGACATTATTTGGAAACTGGGTCTTAAAGAAGTAATCAAGATAAAATGCGGTCACAGGGTAAACCCTATTCCAATGTGACTGGCATCCATATAAAAAAGGGAAATTTGGACAAAGACATGCACAGAGGGAAGATGCTGGAAAGCCACACATAGAAAATGTCACACTAGAAGACAAATGGTTGATGTATCCAGAAGCCAAGAAACATCTAAGGCTACTAGGAGCTAGGCAGGAAGCACCTAACAGTTCTCCCCCTGGTATGAGCAGAGGGAACATAGCCTTGACAACACTTTGATTTTGACTTCCAGTCTCCAAAACTCTGAGACAGTACATTTCTGTTGTTCTAAGCAGCCCAGTTTATAACACTTTGATACTGCAGTCTTGGGAAATTAAGACAATTAATTACTTTCCAATATTTTAGTTTTCATAATGATCAACAAATTACCACTGAGGAAAGATTTCCTTTATTGAACCTATCTTCTCCTATAGTTTTGTCTTAGGGAGAAGGAAGAAATGGGAACAGACAGGGTGGCTTATCTCAATTTATTGTAGATATGAAAGATAGAGACAAATTTTCTTTTGCTCTATCACTTTGTCCCTTTAAAAATAGTTTCTAAAATCTGTTTTATACCTCTGATTCAAATTTTGGTACACTGATTCCGTTTTTAATTGCCCTTACATGTTATAATAGTTTACTAGGGCTGCCATAACAAAGTACCGGAGACTGAGTGACTTACACAACAGAAAGTTATCTTCTTACAATTCTGGAGAAGTCCAAACTCAAGGTGTTGGCAGGGTTGGTTTCTTCAGGCCAATCTCTTTGGTTTATAGATGGCAGCTTCTTTTCATACTCATACAGTCTTCCCTCTGTACATGTCTGTGTCCAAATCTGCTATTCCTTTAAGGACACCACACATACTGGAGAAGGGTGTAACCTAATGACCTCATTATAATGTAATTACCACTTTTAAAGACCTTATCTCTAAATAGTCACATGCTAAGGTACTGGGGGTTAAAACTTCAACATATGAATTTAGGGGGATACAATTCAGCCCATACCAGATGGTGTCATTGAATTTTTGTTTTCCATATATTACTACTCATGTCAGCCATTAAACTTTAAATTTCAGCCATTATGGGCATATCTTTTCATCTCATCTTCTGGTCATATTTTCTATTTTGTTATTGATAATGACAACTATATATGATCAAATATTTCCTTCTGTTTTTTATTGTAATTCTGTTCTCAGGTATAAAATTTTCCTTTACAAATATTAGGTTCCCTTCTATTAGGCTCCAAAATCTTTTCATTGAGCTTATGAGTCAACTCAGTATTGAATTAGAATATGTCTATAAATGTCTAATATTTGTCAATAGGCAGATTATAGTTAATTTTCTTTGGTCCCAACTTCACTGTCCACTTGACGTTGATAGGATTCTTCTCCCTGACCTCGGCCAGGAGGGTAAGCTGGCAGGCAGAGCTCATTACCAACTTTCATTGTCCACCAAATACCCACATAATGTGGCTCTACTGGACTGGGAAGAAAAATACCTCCTGCTTCCACCTGACTACCTAGGTTAAAGCATTCAATGATTCTTTGACTAGACGAGATACTTTCAATTCATTTGAAGCACTGTTGCCAGGGTTCTCTCTGTGTTCTTTGCTATAGTTACTAATGCCAATCAACTTATGACTAGGCTTTGTTAATAAAAATGAGAATCTCTGGATGAAGGAAGGAGAAACAACTGAAGAGTGGAAATTAATACAATAATCCCTGTAGCCAGAGAAAACAGGTCTCATTCAGTTTTAAGTTTCAGGGATAGCTTAGCAAGGAGACAACAATAAAAGAGGTCACAAGTTTTGTCCATCTTCTTTCTAGTTGGCCTTACTCTTGTACAGGTTGAATGGTGTGAAACTGCTAATCACTAACTCCGTCTAACCTTTAAACCTACCAACTTTATATGTTCCAACAAATAGATCTGAAGTTAAAATATATGTACAGAGGTATGTATCCATCTTTCTTTACCCAAATTGGTTAAAAGAAAGTCACCCCAGAATCTGTAATTAATTCTTTATTGTATAGTTTCTAATGCCATTGCAATTTTCTGGCATTTACATACAATCAAGCATTGTTTTATAGTAAACCAATGTTCTTTACACCTAATTACACTTTAAAACATTTAAATAGCTTTTTAGGTTCATAAGGAAGAAAAATCACTTCACAATATGTATAGAAATGCACCCTATTTGGACAGAAATGCACCATTTGGGGCAGACATTCAAGGATAAGAACCTGACAAGTAAAGATGGGGCACAGGGAGCGAGAAGGTATCGTTTCAAGTAGCAGCATTCGCACATGAGAAGAGGCAAAGCCTGGAACACATTTTTAAGTATGACTCTGAGCAAGGGGAATTCCCAGTCTTGACATTCTGCTTTTCATTTGTATAATTTTACATTTTTAAAAAGCACTGTCACAAAATATGAATTATAAAATAGTTTTCTATAATTCTTCTTCCATGGTGGTGGCAGTGGCAGAGATCCCGCAAAAGAGGAAAACGGAGAGGTTTTCTAGACTGTTCCCTGAGGATTCCGTGTTAGCCCACTTGCTGACACAGCACAGTGCAATAGTCAGTGATATGCCAAGTGATGTTCCAAAGGAATTACAAGAGATAAATCATTAAAGATATGTTCTACTTCAGCCAGGAAAGTTAAAAAAAATTCAATGAGAACAGTTTTTTAACAAAAGTAAAACTGGTCAAAAGTTAATTGGAACATGTGATTTTCTGTTCATTTAAAAGGAAAGAATATATATTTTAATTTTTATTTCCGTTCCCACCTCCGTTAATTTTAAAAGAAACTCATCAATAAATATATAATTCTAACTATATTTATTTTTTTTATTCTAGTTGAGATTATTTTTACTCTACAGAGCTGTTATTTTATTTAGCAACCTACCCACAAATCTCTCATTAATAAAGCAATCCCAACCCATTAGTTGTCTATAAATTAACAACTTCGAAAAGCACTGCTTCTAGTTAGATCAAAATGAATAAGCTTTTAAATACAAAATTAATACCCCAAAAATTACTTAACCACATACACTCACTTAGTTACTTAAAAGTAGTTTCATGTTCTATATTAGCAATAAAATGGCAGATACTTCAATAAAACAATGACATATACTTTAAACATAAAATCATTAAAGTGGCTCACAAAGGGAACCATTAAAAAGGCATTTTTAAATTAGATAACTTAAACATAATATTACTGCTGAGAAATAATGCTGTAGTTTGTATTAGATAAATTTGCTTGTTACATGTAAGCAGTCAAATTGATAAGCAGATGCCAAAATGATAGATACCAAATTGATACAGTGGGCCCTGAGGTATTGCAAATTTTCCCCACAGCCTTTGGTAGTTTATTTTTAAATTATAGGATATATGTTAGGAACCAGTAAATAATTGGAGGTATTAGACAATATGCATTGTATTAATCATGGCAAAAATAAATTCTCAAGAACCTGTTGCTCCCTGACTGGGATTTTTAGAAGAATTGAAAGAATGGATTATTGAGCTTATAGTAAATATTTAAGTAACTACTTTCAACCAGAATTAAACATTTGGTGATTCAAAATTCCCAGAAGTGTTTTAGGTACAGACACAGTAAGAGCTAGAATTGGCTGAGGAAGAGTATCTCTTTCCACTACATGCAATTCCTTGCTATATTTAGACTTCTCATTAATTTCAGGAAATTGAAAACTAAGCAGGTCTAGTAACCAGATAAAAGTAAATGTAAAAAAATGACAGAAGGGCTCTTCAAAATAAGTATAAAAGCACATGTCATTTTCAGAAAAGTACTATCTAATTAAGAGGAACGTGTTTCCAGTAGGACAAATACAAGGGAATGGAGGATGGTTTACTATTAAGAAATCTATCCAATATGTCACATAAACAGGCCAAATAAGCTCCAAGATCAAGATATTCTTAACCATAAAACATCTGCGGCTACTGTCATGTGACCACATGTACAATTCCAGGCCCTAGAAAAGTCATTAAAACCTCTCTGATCCCAACAGCAGACACACAGCTCTAGGCTTTCTTGTTAGATAAGACACAATATCTCACATAACAGATACTCAGTGCTGATACCAATTATTGCCCTTAGTTACTTAATCCATAAATTAACCTTCTGATGAAGATATTGTTTCCATTAAAAAGCCTGCATGTCATAGACTTTCAGAATGTCTATACCTTTGAATAGCTGAACTTGAACTCGAATTCTGTGAATGGCTGGTACCTCCTTATAAAGTAAACCTATCTGTTATAATAGGTCCAAGGAGAAGAAGCCAGTTTAGGAATTTAAATGCAAAGGAATAAATACTTACAAAAATAGTTTTATTAATTTAAGTGTATTTCCTATACCTGATGAGAATGTAATTTTCTTTAAAGTCACTGAAATCTGGGAATTGAAGAAATGCTACTCCCTTATGAATTACCTGTGATGGCGCAAAACCAGACATGTGAAAAGCTGAAAACACAAGTGGCACCTCTGTCTTCAGCAGCATTTCAATATAGTGAGCGCTGCAAAAATATATGGGATGGATGCCAGATTCTATAGTGTCAACAGGTAGGTACCTCTGCATAAAAGAGAGAAATTGAGAATTAATGAGTATGCAGCTAATTTAAAATAATCAAACTTCTAAATCTTTTCCTCTGAATTGCTCCTTCAAAATTGATGTAGTGGCATAACAAATTATGCAAATATTATAGTTACATAAATTTAAAAGTCAGAATGTTAAACTCTGTAGAAAGCATAAATTTCAATAAAGACAGTATGATATACTTTCTGAGACACAGGAATGAAGTTGACACTTTGGAATTTTGGCAACTTCAATCCTTTGTGGAATTTTGAGGGTGAGTGTTGTATGAAAGAATAAATGAGTGAGTTCAGGAGTAATAAATGCTTTACTTTTTTAATACCTAGGATGTTTCAATATATGTACTCTCCTTGGCTTTGGCCAATGATTCCATAATGCTAATAAGTTTTTGTTTGTCAGCTTTTAAAGGTATTTACCTAATCCCATTTTTCTAAGTTAACACAAACTTGAGTTACTACTAACTGAAATTGGGTACTCTATAAGAAATTCATCTCTAAAACTGGGGAAAAAATACATAATGCATTCACATCAAAGTTGTCAGAGCAAGTATTTTATAAATATATTTTATACACATATTTATATTTACATGTATATTTATATTTATTTATATGTCCATATACTATATATGTGTAGATATATAAACACAAATATTTACAAACTTGTATTTTACAGCAATATCTTCATAAAGTTGGTTATTTTTTTTAATTTAGCTATTAGATACAATTTATTATCATGAATGTTCATAATGTTTTAATGAGTTAGTATAAATCCAACATTTAACCACAATAGCTTCTTTTAAAAACAAAGAATAACCTTGAAGATATAAGTTTATGTCAAGAAAATTCTTAGACCAGCAATTATACCCTATAGACTTATAATAAAAATTGACACTCAAATTAGATCTGAAGAATAAATAATTAAGAAAGTTTCAGAAAAGCATTTTATGTTCTTGCCTTTACCAGGCAACTCTTACTTTTAAACCTTTTTAATAAAACAATGTTAATACTTTTAAATTAAAACAAACCAAGCTCACATAAAAAAATTACATAAGTCAAATAATTTATTAGTGGTTTTCTAGTTTTATCATTCATCATCATAAACAATTTACCATTTCACATGCAGAAATATATACTTGTAGGAAGATATTTTGTAGGAAAATATATTTATGATAGGCTCTCAGGAAGATACCTCACAGTACGCACACACGCACACACACAGAACATTAACTCTCTATATTGATGACAAGACATACATAGCATATTAAATGGACTTCTTGTAGTCAGTTGCAGATTAATGTCTAAGACCAAAAAGTAACCTTTCTATTGAGTAAATAAAAATAATATGAACTGCACAATGTGTTTCACTAATGAGTACTTATAGAGTAAAATTAATGAATATAACAAACATATACAAAAGCAAAAGTCAACTTATACATACATAACATTTTAATTTTCAATACAAACTTAGATAATACTTTTCTGAATATATGTATAATAGTAGTATAAGAATTATATATATATAAGAAATAATTCTTATACATTATCTATGTTGTATTGAAAAACAACATATTTAGAGTTTGTCTGTTAAGAGATGGTGGCAATAGATTAATTAATTACATTCTCAAAGAAAACAAGCCATTATTATGTAATGGATTCCCAAAGATAAGGCAAGAGTTCTTCTACTTTTATACATTATACTTATTGGAAGAAATTATGCCATACTTTTGGGTAACCAAAACAAGCTTCTAGCACCAAATCTTGCATAGAGTAGCTTTGCAACAAATTATTGCCTGAATGACAAGAAAATATTCTAATAATTGTGCACAATCACAATAACTTAACTTATACTAACTTTATTAATTGCTCTATTAATTTCCATTTTATAACTCTAATTTATAGTAAATGGTGTTCATAAACCCAGATCAATGACAGCTCTGAGCCACATGGATACAACAAAGACTATTCTGAATCATCAAATTATAAATTATGTTTGTTATACATTTAGTGTTTTGATGTATTTTGCTTAGTCACAATGCTCTAGAAGGATGGCAACTTTTATTAAAGGTAACTCAAAATAAAATCTAGAACATCAGGTTAAGCAGAACACATAAGGATAACAATAGCATTTACTATATCATCTAAGCAACATATAAACTGACATAACACTATGCTAAAATCATGAAAAAATTATCGGTAAAACTTTTAGCTTGGAATATACTAGAAAGTGGCATAATATGAAACAAGGACTTTATAAAATAGTTAACACTCAGTATTTTACTTTAGTGATTAAATATAGAAGGTATGTGCTTAAAAACAAAAAAGAAACACAGTAAGCAGTTTCTCAGTGTTTTTTTTTTTCTTCCAGTATAGGTAGCTCTGATGAGTCATTTTATTCCTGACACTAAGAAAAATCTAGTTCTGCCTGGGCCATGACACATGAGAACATGGAATCTTCAAATATAAATAAGATTTACAGTTACATGTAAACAGGGAAGGTGCTTTGACGCTGGTTTTCTTTCCTACAAATGATTGGTCACATGACTTACTATTGCTAATGACCTGCAAATGGGTTACAAGTGTGCCATGACTTACAATTTGCTGTAAAATTTAAATCTAATATGTGTAGGGGACAAAAGCAATAAAACTTTGGAAACTGGAAAGCAGAAAGACTGTAGGCCTGAAAAAGCTGAATCCTAAGTTAACAGTAGAGAAAGCTAAGAACCAACCCAATTTACCCTGAAGAATCCTCAAAGCCTCAAAAAGGGATGGCCAGGAATCTCTGGAAGTGGGGATAAAGAGGAAGGGGCTAAAATGAGAAGGCCTGGATGAACATTTGAGCATCTGACCTCATGTAACCTGAGCAGAAGTCTAAAATGTTATTTTCTGGAGAGGATAAAACAGACTGTCTGGCTGAAAGGACACAAGACATCGTTAAGGATAGTGGTACCACACCAAAAGCACAGGAATTGTACAAAAAAGTTAAAATATATATATATATATAAATGTGTATTTAAACTCTATTAGAATTTTTAAGTCTAAACATCCTGTGTTGAATAATTATTATTTTGTGAGGCGTAACAGAGAACTGTGTGTGTGTGTGTGTGTGTGTGTGTGTGTACTACCATCCCTTGACCTTCCTGTCGAACAACACTAGCTCATTCAAGTATTACTTTAGCCTGATTTTTCATCAATGGAGTTTTGTATTTATATGAATATGGAATACTTCCTTTAATTAGTTCTCCCTTTCATGTTTTTACTAGCAGAGAAGGCATATATGAATGTTACTTTTGTTATAATTATTATTTGGGATTAAGTATTCCTATAGAAAAAACGAACTTCAACTTAATATTATCTTATGCTGTAATTTCACTAAGAAATTCTTTCTCACAAAATAAAAAATATTCATTCAGTAGTTTTCTTTTTATATATAAAATTCTATAATTTACTGACAAGTTTAATATTTAACAATGAATCTATTACCATTAATCACTTATTCCGATACCAGTAGGTAAGATACCAAATATTTGAGAAAATGTCAAATCTGTATCTTTAAAGAGAATCAGTCAAAAGCATTCACACAAAAAATGAATATAAACTAATACAGAGTTCTCTACAAAGAAAATGAGATCCCAATTAATTTAAATAGGATTTGCCTTAAAATTTAAAATGCTTCTTTAAAAACAGGCTAAAAAGTCTTACAGAAACTTGCAGTCTTGGCAACCAAAGGAAAGCAGAGGTCAGAAGCCTGGAGAACTGCTGAAGAAATTGGAATGTTTTCTCTTTGTCCCCCAACATTATCATGAACAAAGAAGATACAAACCAGTCATGGCCAGCATAACTCCCCTGCAGGCAGATTACAAAGCACAGTTAAGGAACTGTTATAATAGTTTATGTTACAAAATGAAACATAACAACTCCATAAATACTCATTTCCAGGATCTCTATAAGAAAAGATATATTAATGATACTTAGTCCTCATTTTGTCTTTAGTCAATTTATAAGATATTGATGTAAAATTAAATTTTATTAATAAAAATTACACATTAACTATTATAATGTACTCTTTTCTTTAATGTCCCGTGGAGGCCAATGGCACTAGCAACTGGAAGAAAAACGATCTGCTTTGTAGAAATACACTTCTTGAAGTGATGAACAGAGAGTACCACCCTTTCTCTAGTTCAGGTTGTCTGCTAAATTACTAGCACAATCAAGTATTTTTAAAATCCACACATTTTTAGATTCAGTAATGCAAGTAGTTTGCATATATTTTTCTTCGAGTCAAATCCTATTTCTGAAATATAACCAATTCAAATAAAATCATAAATGGATTTTTATTCTTATTCTAGATTTACTAAATCTAGAATATTAATTTTCTAGATTGCAATCTAATTTTAAAACTTTCTTATATATGTCTGAAAATATATTCCATTAACTTCAATTATTCAGTTGCAGATTCAATGAGTAAGAATGAACTTAATCACTATTCAATTTAATAAAATGTATATCTAAAGTATAGAATAAAATGCTATGAAGATATATCAGAACAAATAAATCACTAATATAGGTTAAAGTATTATTTTACTATAAAAGATATCCCATCAAAAACTTATGAAAAGTGTATGAATAAAGTTGAACTGTGAATCCACTCAAAAAGGATATGAAGAGAAGATTTTACATGAGCTTGCTGCTGTGTCAGGAATCTCTCACAGTGCTTTAACACCCACGTAAGATCACTTTCTGCACTATCTTTTAACAGGTTGAGGAACTTGCCATACCTACATTAAAAATCCACAAAACATACAAAAGGATAAAGGTCAGGCCCTGTATTGTAAATTCATTTATAGAAATCTATCCAAGTGGAGTCCTCTTAAAATCTCAAGGTATTAAGTTTTCAAATTTCTACTTTTGGCATAGCTACTTAGGGGAAAAAATGACTATATATGTTACCAATAATTATGATGTATTTGGATTAGCAGTATTCATCTGGTAAATACTGGTAACTTTAAAGGAAAATAAAACAATAATGAGAGAAAACATACATACCATAGATCTACAAGTAGAATGTAAGTATTTTTTACCTGAACTTAATCTAAAACACAGACTATTGAGTCGAATGTTAAATCTAAGAAACAATTTTTGAGTTCATCTGTTCCAAGGATTCTAAATGGGAGTGGCACTTCTCGGGGGGCCACTTTGGAAACTTATAGGGGCATTTTTTATTGTCATAGTGACTGGGGCCCCAATGGTAGTCAGTGAGGGCCAGGAGGTTAGACACGGGACAGCATGATAACAACGTGCAAATGCCCTGCCTGTTATTCTGCATGGATTAAAAAGATACTTATAATGATCTGAAACTAATTGTTTTATATAAAATATTTTCCTATATTTTTTACATATTCTGAATGCAACCATGTGCAAATCAGAGAAAGATAGTGCTTTATTTGATGCCTTTCTAAGCATTGTTCACCATTTTGGAAAGTCATTTTGCCAGTGGCAACTCCCTTGCAGTATTTGAAGCACCATAATAAAGTCTCTATTTGTAGCTGCCAGTCACGACGATGAGTGCCAGCTATGTCTTATACTGTAGTTTTATACAAAAACTTCATTATAAATCATTTTCCATTTATTTCTTACCAATAAGACATTATAATAAATTTTAAAAATATGTGACTTATATTATCTATGGATTTCATTTCACAACAGAAATACGGTATTTAAAATAAAAACAAGGTTGCAAAACTGAATGTGTTATATGTCCTATGTAATAAAGGTGGGTGAGCTAGTATTAGTACCATTGATTTCATTCTAAGGCTATGAATTTATAAAAAACACTCAGTCTTTTTAACATCTTTCACATGGATCTTTCTAAAAATTGATTGTGATTCTGATCCCTCTGAATGAGACTATCAAGATCCCCATTTAAAAGCAAGAATGAGGGTGAAGGTGGTCCAGGACTCAGCCCTTAACTCCCAGACTGCTGTTTAGCTTGTCCATCTCCTTTGAAAATTACAATTTGCGTACAAAACTTCAAACTACTCTAATTGGTTTATTCATTTTAACTTCTGCATCTATCCTTAAGATACTTTTGTATTCATCACCATAGCTTGATAATCCAAACTAATCATATTTTAGAAATGGTATAATTGTGCTGCCAGTGTTCTGATTTTTACAGTTACTTCTGGGAAAAAACCAGATAGTCATAGAGGCTTAAATACACTGAAATTAAACTCTGAAATAATAATGAGTCATAACTGATTTACCTATAGAGGTAATTTAATCATGTGTCAATATCCTAAAAATAAAATTATTTTCTGAATGATAAATTCTTCATTTAAAATATACAAAATAAAATAAATTATACCAAACAGTTGGTTGTTAAATTAAATACTATTAAGCACATATCAGGTTGATAAAAAAATTCTAGATATACGCAAGGGAGGTATATTTCCCTGTAATATACCTGACAGTCACTTTTAAAAAAATCTTTATTGTTGAAAGTATTACAGATGTCCCCTTTTTTCTCACATTGACCCTTCATAGCCCACCCCTGCCCCAACCCCAGGCCTTCACCTCCCTAGTGTCTGTGTCCATGGGTTATGCCTATAGGCATACAAGTTCTTTGGCTGATCTCTTCCCACTCACCCACCTGACAGTCATTTTAATGCCAAGCTGCTGCACCAATGAAAGACTTTCGTTCTTCACATTTGCATCGGTAGCTAAAAACAATAGAAAATTGGGTTATAAAAATGTATAAAAGTCTGCATAATATTTTAATTGAAAATTGATGAAAGCAATATTTTTACATATTTTACTGTGAATTTTGAAAACACTGATGAATTTGTTCTTTTAGGAACTGTTAATTATATTTTCAAAGGAATTAACAGGAAAATTTTTACAAATAACCTTTCTCCTATAAAAGCATTTTTAAAAGCATATTAAATACAAAACAACTAATCATAGTTTTGAATCATCTATTTTCACTTGGTTCTCAAAACACAAAAGCTATTAACCCCAAAACAGTCTAGAGTATTGCACTTTCGTTAAGCAAAGTATATATAACGTTTTGAATTACTAATATATATACACGTGTGTATATATATGTATACATGTGTGTATATATATGTGTGTGTATATGTATATACATATACATGTACATATATCCATTTACTTCTTAAAGATTTAAGCATGAGTGTCAGGAAGGAATAATCAGTATTCTACTTATAATGTACAACAATGCAGGAGGGTGGAGTGAACAAGTTTCTTCCTGCAGGTGAATTCTCTGTGAAGTAGGAATTGTGATCTTCTACCAAAAGTGAAGAAGGGGTTCTCTTTTCTCCACATTCTCACCAACACTTTTTGTTTGCTGATTTATGATGATAGTTAGGTGAAATAAGCCAGTCAGAGAAAGACAAATACCATATGATTTCACTTATATGTGGAATATAATTAACAAAATAAACTAACAAACAAAATAGAAACAGACTCATATATACAGAGAATAGACTGTCAGAGGGGAGGGGGGTGGGGAGCTGGGTGAAAAGGGTAAAGGGATTAAGCAAAAACAAACAAACAAAAAAACCTCATAGACAACAGTATGGTGATTATCAGAGAAAAAGGAGGGTGGGCGTAGAAGAGGGTAACACGGGGATAAATGGTGATGAAAGGAGACTTGACTTGGGGTGGTGAACACACAATACAATAAACAGATGTTGTATTATAGAACTGTATCCCTGAAACCTATATAATTTTATTAATGTCACCCCAATAAATTCAATTTAAAAAGAAGAAAAAGCACCAGGAAAGATTTACCTATTAATAAAAGTACAAAGACATTTTAAAACGTGAAGGAGGGGTTGTTCAGATGGAGAACTATAAGAGAAGTTGAAAGTTTAGATTAGTCCTTGAGAACACTGGATGGCCAAGCTAACAATGAACACTGAAAAGCATCACTAGATAGCACTGAAAGTCTAGTTGAAACTTTCAGTTTTGGGCTGAAGAAATGGTAGTGTGCATATGCACAAATATACAAGATTAAGGGAATTGTCCAAAATCACATATTATCTAGTGGTAGAGAGGACCAAAGGCTACGTTTTCCGAATCTCATATCACGAATTTTCTTTCCCTCCCATTACATATTGGTGCATCGCATACTATCAATATAATCTACTTAACTCATGGACTCATTCATTCCTTGTAATAGACCTTTCTGATAAAAGTAGGTGTAGCACACCAGGCTAGAAGCTATGGAGGATAAAAGATAAATAGTACATCATGTTCTAAAGGAACTTTCCATGTAGTGTCAGAGATAAAATTTGTATATAGATAGCTCTAATTTTTTAAAGTGCTAAGAGGAATAAGAATGGTACAGATAAAATGTTATGTGAATTCATAAGAGGAAGAGATTAGGAAGGCAAGGGATTTAAATTGAACCTTAAAATATGGGTAGACTTGAGATCTATAGAGATAGGGAAGAACAAATCAAGCATCACTGTTATCAAACATCTACTCTTTGGACCAGCAATAATTCATCTTTTAGCACTCTTAGAGTTAAGGTAACCTACTTCTCCTAGTTAACCTAGGACTTTCATGGTTTTAACACTGAAAGTCTCATGCCCAGGAATTCCTCACAGACCTAAAGTGTTTTATTTCCATTTTTTTTATTTTTTGTATTACATATGTCTCCTTTACCCCCTCCCCCCGCGCGCCACTTCCACCCTCCAGGACAAGCCCCCACTGCCTCAGTGTCCATGGCCATTGGTTATGCTAATATGCATGCATACAAGTCCTTTGGTTGATCTCTTACCCCCCCCCGACACCCCCCTCCCCCGCCGCCTTCTCTCTGAGGTTGGATGGTCTGATCAGTGTTTCTTAGTCTCTGGATCTATTTTTGTTCATCAACAACATATTTTTATTTATGCTGTTCATTATAGCCCACATATGAGTGAGATCATGTAATATTTATCTTTCTCTGACTGGCTTATTTCACTTAGCATAATGCTCTCCAGGTACATCCACGCTGTTGCAAATAGTAAAAGTTCCTTCTATTTTATAGCAGCGTAGTATTCCATTGTGTAGATGTACCACTGTTTTTCAATCCACTCATCTGCTGATGGGCACTTAGGCTGTTTCCAAATCTTAGCTATTATAAATTGTGTTGCTATGAACATAGGGGTGCATATGTACCTAACAGATGTACCTTCTATGTCTAGGAGAGAATGATACCGTTTTTCACTTGTAGCAACAGGTTAAGCAAAGGAGACTACTCAGTGTCTTCTCTTCAGATTTTTCAAACTGGACTGAAGTAGGGATTTCTCTCCTTATTAATTACAGGGCTATGAGGTGCCATGGGTCTCTAGCAAGGGGAATAAATGCAACATACAAGGAGAGGGAGAGACAGAGGAAGGAGAAAGATTGCTGAAGACACCTTTACCCCATTTATAGGAAACAATGATTCAGCCTCATTTTCTGCTTAGACAAAAAAAAAAAATTTGCTTTTATTTTCCATCACTTGGTACCAAAAACATATATATCACAAATTATTTTCACTTTCACAAAATAAGGACCAATTTTTAAAACTATTAATCATCATTCATATGTTCACCATAATTTCAAATTCTTAGTCTTAACAACAGCATTTTTTTTAATTCAGCGTAATTTAAACACAGCTTTTGCCAATGTCCACTACAATCCAATCAGGTGAAATTCACTTGGGTAATCATCAGGAAGTTCTTTTTGTTTCAGTACCTGAATCCATTCCTGGTGATCCTATATTCTATGATTAATTATATTTTAATTTCCCAAGTTTAAATATATAAAACTTTAGTGCTATAGTGTTGGTGACATTGGCTGATTTTGCAAAATTTAAATAATTTCAATAAGGTAAACATGCCAACTTTATATATTCCTATAGTCATGGTATATTCCTACCTGCTATCAACTATCATAATGTGATACGATAATATTCATTTCTATAAACTATTGCCAGAACAATTTTAAGTTAAATTAGATAACAGAATTCTAATACATATAAAATTGGATTATTAAGCATAAAAATATTTATCTTCATTAATATACAGATCTGTGTGCTTGTAATAATACTAATGCTGATTGGATGAATGAGTAGATGAATGAATAAATGAATGAACAAACATCCACTGAACAACAAAATAAGTGGTGTTTTATATATCAATCTAGAAGCAAGGTGGAGATGGAAATAGATTTGGACTTAAAAATATATTCTGTATATTGAAATCAACTAACAAATGGATAATATGACTCCCTAATCCCTAGAGTCTATAAAAAGCTTAATGAAATAAGTTGTTGAAAAAATTCAACCAAACAATGACACCTAAAGCGCCCTACTTACCCTAGTTACTTAGCAATGTGTAATTCAATCTCAGCATCAATATTCAAGCAATTATTTGAAATAACCAATCATTTTAATTATAAATATTAATAGTCTCAGAACAAAATGAGTTGAAAAAATTTTACTTAATATTCACTGATATCACTCACTCTGGCCATGCATTCTGTTCTATTTTGTGGTTTTTCAGAGCCAGAACAAAGAGCAGTGGTAGAAGAAATCAAATCTATTCTGCCTGGCACTTGGCTAATGGCATGGAAAAAAGTAAATTTTCAGAAGAGTAAAGACCTTCTCGAAGATGAATTCATGGTTGAAGAATCAGTGACTGCTTGACTGTCTACTGACTTTCCGGAAGCCCTGCTGTATCGGTTATAAAGTGAGAGAACTCTCAATCACTCAAAGATATTAACCGGTCAGTATTCTTCCTCCTATGTCCTTCTTTCCCCAAAGCAAGTCGGAAGATTCTGTTGCTTCTTTTTCAACATGAGGTTTTATCTATCCATTTTATTCAATTCGTAATGACTTAAAATCTAATTCCTGGTGACAAAGCTACTATAAGAGTCTGTCTCCTAACTGGCATAGTCAGTGTTATTTGCTAAAAAGCACTTCTCTTTCCATGTCTTTATTTATGCAATTACCCCTGGACCCATAAGTCTTCTCCTCTCCTATCTCTTTCATCTGTAATAGCAGTACTAGTGCCATCTGTCCTGCTCTATTATCACTTCCTCCTCTTATCTTCCAGTATAGTCAACAATGATCATCCTTTCCACTAAACACTATGGCACTCACAACAAAACCCTTAATTTAATAATAACCCAATGCAAATAAGATACTTAAAAGGCCCGGGCAGATTGCCTGAAACAAAGTAGCCAGCTAAAAATGATCAGTTTTCCCTCATTTCTTCATTTTCTATCTTACCATCTGCTGCCATTTACTTAATTCATCATTTAGATGCATGCTCTGTCTTCCTTCCTTGAGGTGAGGGATATTTATATTATACTAGGAGCCCAGCGCACGATTCGAAATCGCGTGGCCCCGCCCACTTCCTCTCTGGCCCTTGAAGCAGCCATGGCCACTGCTGATCAGGCCCTCCCCCAGCACAGGTGCACAAAGGCCCCTGCTGCCCCGCCCCCAACGCTGCGGCCCGTGCAACCTCTTCCTGTCCGGTCGACCCATTACGATGTCCCAGTTAATTAGCATATTTCTCTACTATATATATATATATATATATATATATATATATATATATATATATATAATCTACTTGCAATATTAGAACATACAAACATGTTCCATAAATGTAATAGAAAAGAGCATATTTGTTGAATACCCAAAGAAAGTATAAAGGTGTTTAACTGTATATATTAAGTTTAAAAATATTTTAGTAGTCAAAAGACAGAATTGCAACTTTTTTAAAAAAATATTTTTATTTATTTCACAGAGGAAGGGAGAGGAAGGGAGAGATAGAAACATCAATGATCAGAGGGAATCATTGATTGGCTGCCTCCTGCACATTAGACCAAGCCCGCAACCCAGGCATGTGCCCTTGACCGGAATCAAACCTAGGACCCTTGGGTCTGCAGGCTGACACTCAATCCACTGAGCCAAACCAGCTAGGGCTAGAATTGCAACTTTTTAAATATTTTTTCAGCCTTTTGATTAACAACACAAAGAGAAAAGTAGTAACATTAAAATATTTACTACCTTAAAAGGACTACTTAATTTATCATCTCAAAGAAGCAATTATAGTAGTAGAAAATCCCCAACTTGTTCCAGGGAATTGGGCCAACAAAATGTTGTCTGTTAAGATCTGGAAAGATACCTGTATGGATTTACAATCTGCAAATGTGCAGAACTTTCTGTTTGTTCTTTCCTTTTTCTTCAAGGGGATAAACAGCCAAACTAATTTGATTTTTTCAGATTTGCAAATTTTATAATAGATTGAAATCCTGAGGGAGCTAACAACAGATGGATGACTGTGTTATTCTAATTTCAGCTACCTTAGGGTTTAGCAAACTGTCATTTTTAAAAAGACAATCAATTTCTCATTTCCAGAAACACAAAAAAGCACTGAATATATCTATTCAGCATTTGCTTTGAAATATCCTTATATCAAAACAGTTTTTTTATATTTAAAGTAAATAAAGTGAAATTTCATAATAGCAAACCATTGTTCCACCAGCCAAAAAACAAATGATAAAGGATGAGGATAGCTAAGGCCATGGGAAGAAAACAATACTACCATAAAAATTATCATATCGTAATAAATACTCAACAGTTAACCAAGAGGAAGCCACTTTCTTTTTGGCTACACTCTAAAATTCCAGTGGATAGTTGTTCAACTGGAGCCTTTAAAGAAATTTAAATTCACACTCAGGGTTTCTCTGCCTAGATACTACATTCTAAAAAGACTACACGTGAGATTTCCCTCAGGGTAATTTAGAAGTACAACAGAGGGCAGTAAATACATGTATGCTGAGCAATCAGGTTGAGTATTTGGATAACACATACAACATAATGTTAATTTTAGATAATACAGAAAATATAATCTAATAGAACAATGTGCCAAGGAAAGCTGTAGAAATTGGAGATTATTATGCTGCAGACTAGAGATCCCCACTCTTGTCCATGCAAATCTCCATGATTACCACTGCTTACTGATTTCCTTTTACTCATAGACTTGACCATTATTCCCTGTATTCTTTTCACGTACATTATTAGGTTCACTTATAAAGTTATAATTCTTTTCACAAATGCTTTTCTTCAAAACTGTCTTCACAATTTCTGTTTTCTTTCCTATTTACCTCAATTTTCTGATTTTAAATGCAATGATTATGCCTACTTCATTCTTTTCTCAATATAGCAACCACAGTGATCTTTTAACAATGTAAATCAGAGCACGTCAATCCTATGTTTAAGACCCTGCAATAATTTTCCAAAATCTTTCCTCTATGACTTCCACACAAACAATTCTTCCCTCTTATTTCTTTTTAGCCATACTAGTCCTCTTTGGTGTCACTTGCTGAAATTCTCTTTCCCTGAAAATACCCATATATCTTGCACCCACTTCTGCTGGTCTGAACACTATTTAATATTGTAATCCTTACCCTCAACTAGCACGCCCCAGCTCCCTGTCCTGCTGAAAAATTCTCATCTACCACCATACCATCTGACATACTGAATCTTTTACTTATTTATCATCTGTCTTCCTACCAGAAGGTCAATTCTATTAGGGCAAGATTTGTTTCTCTCATTTGTTCAATGCTGTGTCTGAATGCTCAGAGAAGTTCTATCACATAGCAAAGGACAATATCTATTTGTTGAATAAATGAATGTGTGTGTGGTGAGGGAGAGAAGAGGAAGTTGGCAGTGCTACTAACAGTTTAGTGTTCCTGAAAAATAAATGTAAGGCATGGATGGAGAGAAAGAGATGATTCTAGAGAGGAACAAAGGGCAAGCCTAATTTGAGGCCTCAGGTATCATGGTAAGAGTCTTATACTTTATGCAGTGGTTAATGGTGAGCTTCTATGGGGGAGAGGATGAGTGGGTCAGATCTGGGCTTCAAATATCACTCTGAAAGCAGATTAAGAATACCTTTGAAAGAAAATCAGATTCCAATTAGAGACCCCAGGTAAAGAGGCTGTTGTATTACCATAAACAAAAGTAATGGTGGCCTAAACTAACATAAAATAATAGAAATCAATGTAAGTAGATGGGGTGGTGAGGGCCTGGGGGGGTTGGGGGAGGACGGGAGCAGGCTGGAAGAGGTTAATGGGGGAAAAAGGAGCACCTATGTAATACTTTCAACAATAAAGATTTAAAGTATATCTACATATATTACATATATACATATATAATATATATAATATATACATATATATATATATATACACACACACACACACACACATATGGTGTGTGTGTGTGTGTGTGTGTGTGTGTGTAGATAAATTTGAGATAGATTAAGAACACAGAATTAAAATGGTTTGGTAATTGGGAGGAAAATATGGATGTAAGAGAGTTCATCATTCCTTGGTTTCTGGCTTAGATGGAAAGCAGATGACTATAATACCAACCAAAATAGACAAGGTAAGAAGAGGATGTATATCAAAAAGGTACGATGAGGCAAGGTCCCTACTGGACATTTAGAATCGAGGGTTTCTGTAGCACATCCAGGTGACGTTTACCTATCAAGCAGTTGGAAATATGGAAATAAAGCTTGCAGCAGGTATCTGAGTGGAAGATGTACATTTAGAAATCATCAGTATGTGAGGTATGTAAAACAGTACGAGCAGATGAGATCATGGGGGGGGGGGAGCAGTGGATTAAATGAGCAGAGTGGAAGATATCATCTTAAGGAAAAACAATTTTTAAGGGGTAGACAGATTAAAAGGGCTCAGAAAGGAGTTAGAGCCCAGTCGGTGTGGCTCAGAGGTTGAGTGTCGACCTATGAATGAGGTCACAGTTCTATTCTTGGTCAGGACACATGTCTGGGTTTTGGGTTCGGTCCCCAGGGGAGCATGCAGGAGGCAGCCAACCAATGATTCTCTCTCATCATTGATGTTTCTATCTCCTTCTCCCTCTCCCTTCCTCGCTGAAATATATTTTTTTAAGTTAGAAAGTTACAAGGAAACTCAGACATTTACACAGAAGAGATTAAAAGATATCTGGAATGTATATGAGATATTTTTAGGATGAGAAACCTTGTGCATATCTGTAATTTAATTACACGTCTCTATAAAATATCTATTTGCACACTAAATACTTTTCAAAATTCAAAATGTTTAATATATACCTGTATATACTACGGAGGGGAAATAGCATTCCGATGGGCTTTCAGAGAGATGAAGCACAAATTTTTCAAGTAATTCTACTAAAGCTGTAATTAACAAGAGAATAATTAGAATATTAAAGGACAATAATAATACATGATAATGCATCTCTAAATAACAGACTGGTACATAAAAGTCATCGGAACATCTTTAGTTACACCCTTAAGGGGGTCCAATTCAAAACACACAGCATTTTAATATTCTTAACAATGCTTCTGATATAAATTAAATTTTAATAGCTTCACTGAGAACCTATGAATGTAAGACTGGAAAAGAATCATCTGTTATCTTTAGATCCTCTAAGGATTACTTTAGAATGCTAAATGATTTCAATACAGAAAGAAAATTATCACTAATTAGACTACAATATCTTATCGTAATTATTCACGCATACAGAAAAAATTATGTGAATTCCAAGTCCAAGATCAATGAATAGCTCACGTCTCTTTCAAAACCAGTGCATATTATTTGTTTTATATATTTTGCAACATATGGTATCTGTTCAAGGCAATCGAATGAAAACTAAGCTTGCCAGGGTAGGCAGCACACAGGATTGTAGGGCAGTGAAGCTCTTCAATGCACTGAAATTCCATCATCCATAACTCAAGAAAATTAATTTATGTCATGAAACACTTCTTAACTTTAAAAACAAACTAACTCTAGGATATTACTATCCAAAGCAGTATGCTATGTGCTGTTGAAAGTGAGTAAAACCAAGCGAACTGTTACATGGGCAAAGATAAAACAGTGTTTAAGTTTTGCCTACCAAGACCTCTTAGACAGTTTTCTAAAAAAGCTTAGTAACCTCAGATTTTAATTTTAGTTCTCCAGGGTCACAAGTTTTCAAAAATCAATGGACTTCTGAAATGAGTATTATGTATTCTAGACATGCCGGCACTAATCTTCAGGAAACACAGCTTCTGTTAATATAATTTTCATACCAAAAAAAAACAAACAGAAAAATTAGTGCACTTACCACCTCCACTGATTATATCAGGTTTGGCCTTCATCATTTTGCAAAATTGTCTTCGGCAGTTTTCTATCCACTCAGTTTGTTTATCAGACATCTTGAAGTGTAATAAAATTTTGCCAAGATCATTGTCTAATAAGAAATATAGCATGTATTATTATTATAAGACATGCTAGATACATTGAAAAATAAGTATTAATATTAAGCATGTAAACATACACATTCTATTTTAAAAACACAGAATATATATGGCTTTCAAAGGAAAACATCTTTCTGTAATCATATCTTATACTATCAATTGCTATTTACATTTATTAAAAACTCATAAAAATGGATTATTGATATATTCAAAGCTCATAAAATTGATTGACTTATAACCATAATTCCTGAGTATTCTTGTTTTTATACAACATGACACATTACTGAGTATTTGATTTAGTAAACAGTGAGGACCTTAAGATTTCGCTAAACAAACATGAACGTTATACTCAAATTATTAAACATAGAATTACCATATAATTCATTTATTCCACTTCTAGGCATATACTCTAGATCAATGAAAACATGCAGAAACTTGTACAGGACTATTTATAGCAGCACTATTTATAATAGCCAAAAAGTGGAAACAATCCAAGTGTCCATCAGCAGACCAATGTGTAAATAAATTATATTACAGCTGTACAACAGAATATTATTTGACCCTAAAAAGGCAAGTACTTATGCATGCTACAACATGGATGAACCTTGAAAACATTATGCCAAGGAAGATAAGCCAGTCACAAAGTACCACATACTATACCATTCCATTCCTACGAAAGCCCAGAATAGAAAAATCTCTCGAGACAGAATATAGATTAGTGGTTGCTCAGGGCCGGGTGAGGAAAGGACAGAAAAGAGGGTACTGGGTTTCTTTTTGAGGTGATAAAATGTTTTAACATTGTCTGTGGTGATGGCTGCACATGTCTGTGAATATATTAAAAACCATAAAATTGCACTTTCAATTGGTGATGTGTATGGTATGTTAATTATGTCTCAATAAAGCTGTTTTTAAAAAGTACAAATTAAGACCCACATGGTTGATACAGAATATGTAGGATAATTACAGAAAGCACACGAGATGATGTAAATGGCAAGGGAAATGAAATAATGGGGAAGTAATATGTTTGTTTATATACGTGGCTCACATTAGCTGTCACTCTGTTTACTTCTTAGAAATCCCTAAGGAGGTAAACTTTCAAGAAGGGCCTCTGGAGGAATGTATGGGTAAAGAGTAACTCCTAAGGAGTTCTTAGCAACATCCCAGAGTTCACTTGCATTAGGAGTTACTAATATGTTTGAGGCTTTCAGTGAGTAGCCATTTGAATTTCTAAGATCAAAGAGAGGCAATCAACACCAAGTAGCCTGACCTCCAGTGACTGTGAGCCAGTGCTATGCTTCTGGAATTCTGTTGGGCCTGTTAAGAGTAATAGAAACACACCGGCAATGACACACACAACATAAGTTACTCTCCACTACTCTCCACTTTGAAGATAAAGCCTCAGCCGAGTAAACATAAATCCAAATGGTTTCTTGATAAAGACAGTACGTTGGCCCTCTGTCTCCACATATGTGGAACTCACAGATAGGAGGGCAGACTTGAGCATCTGCACATTTTGGTATCCCTGGGGGTCATGGAACAACTTCCCCGCAGATATCCAAGGACATCTGCAGTGAATTATATAGGATACAGGGGTAACCTAGATTACAGATTATTTTATAATTCAGCCTGCGTACACATTATAAAGATAATAAATAAAATGAATGTAGGGTGGCAGAAAGGGAAGTAAAAGGAGCAAATGTCTCCTATTATTGAGATAAGTCACCAATAACCAGAGCGTGCTATCCAATCCCTCGAGCCATTTTTAGTTCTCAGGATGGAAGCCCTGGATTTCCCTCCCTCCTGGGAGAGAGAAATCCCCACCCGAACACACCCAAGTAGAATGCAGTGGAGCAGGCTGGCCAGCTAGGGGTGTAACAACTCCCAGGAGAGCCAAGTTTAGCCTAGGAACACAAAAACGAAACAAAACAGACGGCTACCCACCTCACACCCTTCCTGTGTCAAAGAGGAACCAATCGTTTCGAACCAATCTTCAGTAGTTCACTTTAACACATGCCGACGTGCCACCAATACTTGCTTAAACCATTGTACAACCCTCCTTTCTCCATTCACCTTGCCTTTCTTATCTTCTGCACAGGTAACAATGTTACTACACTAATGCATTTCCTCTTATGTATCTAAACTTTCACGTAACAGAGAGATGGTACTCTGACAAGTTATTTCTAACATATAAAAAAATAAATTTTTCATACGTGTAGGATGATTTTCATATGCCCCCTTTTTACATTATAGGCACATATATATATATATATATGCATGTGTGTAGTTATACATACGTACACATATATGTACAAATGTACATACAAAATCAGTAGCTTTCAAAGGGATTTTACGTTTTAATGTGGTGACCCTAAAATGGACACAAAGAAAAATAACTGAACCAGATGATACCTCAAGATTCTTATTTACAGATGAAGATAAATCATCTAATAGCTAACACTGATGCCGATGAGCTAACAAGAAGCAATTTAACAGACAAGGAGATGCTAACTGTAGGAAGGAGGGAAAACCTAGGAGCTGGGAGACAAATGAGAAAGATGTCACCATATGCATACAACTGGAGTGATTTTTTCCCACAACAACGAAATGATATTGCAAATGACAACACAAATAACAACTAACAGAATCAGTGAGTCATTAACTTCCAAATAAAAAAGCAAAATGAAATGTATATGAATACGTGCCTTGAAAACAGCAATTTGTGTCTTAAAATACTACTAGCTTAACCATAATTTTTTAAAGTACACAATGTTTAATTTACTGCACTGTATTTAACCAGAGACATTACTTTCAAATTAGTTTTATACCTGTTATAAATGCATTTGGCTCCACTTTTCTCATTTAGTTCATACAGACATCACCACTGTATTCTCTTAGGTACAATGAAAAGCCAGACATGATTCTGATTCCTCTCATTTTCTGCCATCCTACTATGAGTACAGGATCAGTGACACATCAGCAACATCATTTTACACATATTTTATTAATATTTGATTCAAAATGTTATATCTCTTCCTGAGGTGCCTCTTGGGTTGTCCACTAAGGCCTAGATCAGGGGTGGGCAACCTTTTTGTGAGTGTGTGCCAAAACCAGCAAAATCTCTGACTCAAAATTCTTCTGCGTGCCAACCCTAATTTTTTGAGAACATGTTATGCCTACTTGACATCTCTTAAGGTGTACGTATGTGAAGAACCTTGAAGAAATAATAAAATTCATTCGAGCGACAAAAACACAGTATATGATGATGAAAAATACATTTATTTTTTAATGTATACATGTACACTGATAGTCCGACAGAAAACTTTATGACACCGTTTCATATTATCAGTGGGACTTTTGCTGCTGCATCACTGATGACAGAGATTTTACATCAGGTTTATATTTCATGACCTTCAGAGATATGCACGAGCTACTACTTTCATCCGTCAGGCTACTCCTATTACGAGACTTAACAAAATTCATCACTGAGAACAAAGATTCACAAGCGTATGTGGATGAAACCAAAACACTGGTCGGACCTAGGAAGGCAGGGAGAGTTAAGGCAGAGGAATAGAAATTGCTCTTCCCCTCTCTCGTCAATCTATGTCTATGGTCTTTAAGATAACTTGTTATGAATAAATAAATAAAATTATTTATTTATCTAAGATGCACCTACACTGAATTTATCTGAAAAATAAAAAAGTCGATATTAAGAAAAAAATTGTAAATGGAAGATTATAAGAGAGGGTTTCGCGTGCCAGCAAAAGTTACTGGTGTGCCATATTTGGCACGCGTGCCAGGGGTTGCCCACCCCTGGCCTAGATCGTTTTCTCCTCCTTAACGATAATCACAGTAGACGCAGGACCACTATTATTATGAGGAATTATCAGGTACTGCTGTTAAATTGAGAAAAAAATTGTCTCATGCAAACGTGTTTTAAGGACAAACAGAAAGGCAATAGAAGTTACTGTCCAACACACTGGGGAAACATGGAATTAAAGAGGTTTCTAATTAGCATAAAACAGAGCATATGACAGAAAGAAAGTCACAAATATGTAGACCATTATAGGCTACAGGGAAGCCATTGGAGGGTTTCAATTTGAGGAGCAATATGATCCAAACCACATTTCAACAGCATTACACTGGCTGCTGTTACTTAGCAGGTTACTACAAGGGAGAGATGACTGGTAGTGAATGGGTGAAAGTGGTTTATTTCAGATGAGTCAAGTCAAGAGCAAATGCTGACACATTAGATGTAAGGTCTGAAGACAGAGAAGAGTCGAAGAATGCCTTCAGGTTTATTGCCTTAAGAACCTGGAACACAAAGGTGCCATTCTGAAATAAGCAAGCACACCAAAGGAATATATCTGGAGGGAGTATCAGAAATTTATCCCAGACTTCAGTTTGATATGCTTGATAACTAGCAGAGGTATCAAGTAGACAGTGAGATATGAGTACAAGGCTCAGGGTAGAGATGGGGGTTAGAAATACAAACCTGAGAGCAATCAGCATGGTGGACAATATCTTAGTAATATGACTAGAGGCGATCCTCCCAAGAATAAAGTACAGCTTGAAAAAAAGACAACTGAGAAATGAGGCCTGGAGTACTCCAAAGTTTAGAGGTTGGCGAGAGGTGAACGATCCAACAAAGGAGGAAACAGGATGTGCAAAAATGCAGGAGGAAGATTACATAATGTATGTTCCTGAAAGCCAAGGGAATACAGTGTTTCTAAAAAGAGGGAGGCACCAGAAATGCTCAGTGACAATGCTAGGTCGAGTAGGACAAGGACTGAGGTCTGACCAGATTTTATTATGGTGGAGTGATGGGCTGAGAGCCTGATTAGCTTTCAAGTGGCTTCAAGGCAGAATGGAAAGAGAGTAGCTGGAATACCAAGATTAGACCATTTCTGCAAAGAATTTTGCAGTAAAGGGACAGAAATGGCATTGTAGTGAGGGTGGAAATGGGTTCAAAATAAGATATTTGAAATATGGAAGAATTAACCCCATTCTTGTTGGCTTATGAAGAAGCTACAGTGAAGACTCTCCCTGGCTCTCTAAATATAATAATAATAATAATAATAATAATAATAATAATAATAATAATAGAGAACTAATAGATGCAGTATTTTTGATAAGAAAGAGAAAGGAATGCAGTGCACAAAGGGAGCAAATAACATAAGGAGTATACGAATAGTAATAAAAACCAAAATGGGCACAGATGCCGCTGAGTTCCTATGTATCAGAAGCACATGGAAACTTTTTTTGACTGTTTCTTTTTCATCAGTAAAATAGCAAAGTTATCATCCGACAGCACGGATGGGGAAGAGGTGAAGACGGTTTGATGACAGATGTGAAATAGTCCTCCAGGAGACGAGGCGAGTAAATGGACCTGGGCACACGGCATGATGCCTGGCAGCACCCTGGGCCGCTGAGGTTAACCATTCAGCAGCTCTATGCTACACCCGACAGAGAAGTTGTTATTACTCCCTTTTCTAAATCACGTACAAGAGTAGAGCAGGGAGTAAAATTATACTCCTCTCACCACTGATTTCCAGGAATTGATGACATAGTTTTTCCTATTCTAGGTAAGTGTCCATTTACTTTGCTTTTTTATTTCTGTCTGGCTTGTTCAATTTAAAATAAGTCAATTACTTTTTTACCAAACTGTTTTGGAAAAAAATTATCAAATGTGGTAGTCAATCAATAAAACTAATCATGAATTTATTGTTAATAAAACTGATAAAAAAAATAACTATTTGTTCCCAAGAGAAACTTAGCAGAGATCACAATGTTATATCACAATAAGGAAATAAGATCTGGAGAGGAGCTGAGGCACTGAGAATGGACCAAGTCCCACACATCGTCTATCTCCAGCGTCTAGGGAAGCACCTGATAATCACTGCTCCTAAAACATGTCAAATAAAAGGAATGAGTGGAGGAATGACTGATGAAACCTAAAACAGGATGACAAAATATAAGGACTTACTAAAAAACTAAAAGCAAGATTGGAAACGAGAGTAACATTGAGAACAGTTTGGGTTCATGGAAAGATATGAGTCAAGTAGGAAAAGAGTCCAAATGATACTCTCTCAAGAGTCTCTTCTTGAAAAATACTTAATATCACTCCCACATCTCTGAAAGCAATAGATTAGGTCACACAAGAGGAAAACACAAGGACAAAATTTGTAAAGTGAGCTATAAAGACAAATATTAAAAACTTTAAAAGCTCCCTCATGTTCTTTCCCTAACCTCTAAGTAAATAGAAAAAAATAGAATTTTTGTTTCTATGCAATTGTGAAATATATAATGTATATCTCAAACACTGGATAGAAATAAAAATAATGTATACTGATTGATGGCTTCTATTGACTCTTTTAAAGCAAATAAATGTAGGGAAAGGTAAATGGCATATAAAGTCTCACAAAGAAGAAAAAATCCAATTTTTCAACAATCACTCCATAGAATCTAACCTATGTGAAATCAATCTTATATTATTTCTTTCCAATGTAAGTTTGATGGTATTATAAAGGAATTCATGTTGATTTAAGATTAAACTTCTCAAATTAATGAACAGTTTGTTTGTATATGTTTATATTTTTCCTTATAATTCTCTAGTCTAAAAACTGTCTGAATTTTCATTGTTCTTATGAAAACGTCTAAGCACCTGAACTTGAGCTACACTGGCCTCATGTCTGAGCTTAGCTTCCCTGTCTCGTCTTATCTCTGGTGACTCTTACCCCCACATTACAAATCTCATCCTGACCTACTCCTAGTTCTTTGAATTTGCTCCTTCTAACCTGTCATTTTTTCTGTCAAAAATTATCTTCTATAAACCAGAAAACATATTTATACTTTATTCCTTGCTTTAAACATAATGTTCTTATTGTCTATTTAACTCCCATCACACTATATTACCATCCAATTACCTGATTACTTGAATATAGTCTCTAAAATTTCATGAACTACTCTAAAGTGGTTATCTGAGTTTTCATTTTATTACATTTATACAATTTATATACTTATATTTCAAGTCTTGAGCACACATATACTAAAAATATTACTCTGTTGAATAAAGTTCTATATAAATAGAATAAATTAATAAAAAATCATTAGTTACTTTTTTAAACCAAAAAAATGTTCTGATAAAAATTATTTGGCATCATATTAATGTTAATTTCATAAGAAACTTGAAAAAGTGAAAATGTACAAAGAAATAGGTATCTATATCCACATTCACAAACAGAATGAAAATAGTTTTAATCTCCCTTTCCAATATTTTCTTTTTTGAAATTGTAACAAAAGCACCAAAAAAACATGACATTTGATAGCAAATATTTTACCTTGCTTTTGATCAGTATTTCTTGTACCTTCTGACAGATAGCAGTTTGGTAAAGGATATGATGAAAACATTGGCCAAGGATATGGATCATCACCCTAAAATGAAGCAAGACAGATCACTTTCGAAAACAGTTTAAGATAGCATTGAATTTTAAGGCCTTCTGAAATATTATTCATAGAAATTGGCTTTGTTTCATAAAAATTTTAGAGTTGTGGTCCAACTAATCAAAAGCTATTTGACATTATAATTCAATGCTCTAATGAATAATGACTAAAATGAAATATCTTAGAAACAACATTAAATAAGCAATAAAGACAAATATATGGTAACTTGTTCTAGCAAGTAGGACTGAGAATGATGGCTTTAGTATTTCTGTCATGAAAGGAAAATTATGGTCTTCAAAAGAAACCTGCATTTCCTACATTGCTCAAAAAACTGTTTCTTTTGTACTGTCAATTGTTCCTACCTCATGTGTCCCAGAGTGACAGCCAAAGTAAAATGTACTTAATAACAATAACAATAAAAAATCCAACCCTTGCCCTAGCCAGATAGCTCAGATGGTTAGTGTCATCCCAATATGCCAAGGTTGTAAATTCAATTTCTGTTCAGGGCACATATAATAATCAACCAATGATTGCATAAATAAGTGGAACAACAAAAATTGATCCCTTCCTCCCTCCCTCCTTCTTTCCCTCCCTTTCTTCCCCTCCCTCTCTCAAATAAATAAATAAAAATTTTAAAAAAACTTCGTGAAAACCAAACTATTATTATTGATAGAAAGAGAGGTACACAATACTGCCAATTAAATACAAAAGAATATAGACATCTAACAAAAATTAAGTGTCATGAAAGGGAAAGAAATCAAAACTAAAAAATTCAAAAACACAAAAGGAAGATGACAACTTTTAAATAACATAATACCCTACTCAGCAACACAAACTAGTACTCTTGCCCTGCCATGAAAAATAGTACTTTTATTTTAAAGTATTTGCTTTCATCCTAAAGTTTTTCTAGTAATAAGAGTTCAACTCTGTGATGTAGACATTTGATAGTTGCTGTTTAGTGTCATCTGAGTTGGCTATGTTGCTTCAAAATATGTCAGGAAAACATCTTCCCTTCCTCTTACCCACTCACCTTCTGTAGTATCCTCGGAGGCAAAATTCGTTCCATTGGCCCACCAATAAGGTTTATTCTAACAAGAACATGATTTCTCTCTACCGATAAGCCATCGATTATAAAATCCCTGAAAAATCAACATAGCAATTTTGTTATCTAATGGAATATAATTTAGTTTTAAAATCAAGTCACTAGAATGTAAAGAAAAAGGGCAGATAAAATTCTATAGAAAAGTCTGGTAAATAGACTGTTGTTTTTACTTAGAAATACAGATGGCAAAAGTGGGTTTATACTTGTGAGTACACAAAACACAGCTTTTATTTGTATTATTATTTATTACTGTATTATTTTCCATATGAACTGAAAAACTACTTTTGACCCACCCTATATATTCACTTTCTTTTTTCTTTTTCCTTTTCCCCCCCTGAGAATCGTAGTTTGCCGTTTTTCACATTAATGGCAGCCATGATATCCTTTCTCAAGTTCTTCAGCTGCCTTAGTAGTATTTGCCCTATTTCGACTGCCTTTGGCTGACCTTCAAAAGTCATTTGTGGCTAAAAATTTTGATGATATGCTATCCCTCCACTCTCACTCAATCCTCGAGGTTACTTCTAAGATGAGAAAGGGGAAATATTAACTTACACTACCATATTTAAACTAGAGATCTAAGTATTGCTTTGTTTTGGTTCCATTTCACTGTATCTAGCAAAATAAAGGAAGTCTGGAATATTTCTCCAAATTGATGACAGTAGATTTTCTTTTAGTTTTATATGCATTTAGCTATTTTTGTCAGGTTCTGGGGAATGATATTGAATTGGTATTTTTGACTCTTAAAAGCATCCACCAAAATGTTTCTCTCTATTTATAAAAGCTAGTAAGTAGCTAAAACATGCAAATTCAAAAACTATAAAAGATATACAGTGAGAAGTATGTTTTCTTCCAGTCTCTCAGATTCTCCTCCAACCCCTACGAAGCTAACAATTCTTACAAGTTTCTTTTTTGTCCTTGGAGGGTCTGTATAAAAACAAATGTGTTTATGTATATATCCAAAGGTTTCTTTATATTTACTCAAATGATACCACTGTATGCAATATTGGTGCCTCTCCTTTCTCACTTAACTTTATCTTAGAGATAATTCTTTATCAAAACATATATAGCTGCTCTGTTCTAGTATCTGCATAGTATACAACTGTCCAAATGTACCCCAAACATTTAAACTCCCTGCTATGGATGGACATTAAAAAATTTTTGTATGCTTTTATGGCCATTCCAGAGTAAGTATCCTTGTATGTAGGCCATTGTGCTTGTTTGAATATATCTCTAAGATTATCAATGTATCCCTTAAAAAAGCTAAACTCACTCTTTATCTTCTGTCTTTGCTAGAAAGCAAAGAATTGAAGGAGATATAACTGGTATCAGGAAAGGAATGAGATTAATAAAAGAATATTTCCTTGACAAATATTACTGCATTTAAAGAAATGGGATTAAAATGTTATTTTCACAATGATTTTATCACATTTTTAGTCAAGGTTTCCTTAAGTTCTAGACCCAGGGCCTTAAATTGAAAATCTGAATGTTGCTTTTAGTCAGCCTCCACACTTCCTGAAGCTGTCAATACTATCCTTCTGTGTCAACTAGAGTACCCAGGAATGTGCCTGCTCTTCTATAATTTTCTAAGACCTACCTAAAATGGAGACATACTTTTTTGAAAATTATAGACCCAAAAATAATGCCAACTATTGAATGTGCATTCAATAAATGTCAGCCAAATTGAGGTAATGCCAAGTGTGATATATTAATAGAAAAATATACCAAGGCTCTAGCCAGTTTGGCTCAGTGGATAGAGAGTCAGCCCGCAAACTGAGGGGTCCCAGGTTCGATTCCTTGGGCACGTACCTTGGTTACAGGCTCAATCCCTGGCTCTGGTCAGGGTGTGTGCAGGAGGCAACCAATAAATGTGTCTCTCTCACATCAATGTTTCTCTCCTCCTCCCTTCCACTCTCTAAAAATCAATGGAAAAATATCCTTGGGTGAGGATTAATAACAACAAAAAATATCAAGATATGGTCATAACCTCATTTTGCAATAATCAGAATTTATTGACTATGAACTAACATAACTAAGAGAATGGAGAAAAGAGTTCCTCTACAAGGGGCACAAAATAAAATGTCTTGTTTAATGGGTCATCTTCTACATGCAAACTGAATTTAAAAGTGACAAACTTCATGGAGCCATTAAAAAAGTTAGCACTCGCGGGGTGTTAGAGAGCAACCAAAGGACTTGTATGCATGCATATTAGCATAACCAATGGACACAGACACTGGGGTGATGGGGGCTTGCCCGGGGTGGGAATCGCTGGGGGTGGGTGAGGAGGGGTAATTGGGGGAAAAGGAGACATATGTAAAACTTTAGACAATAAAAATAAAAAAATAAAAGATTTGCAACAACAAAAAAAGTTAGCACTTAACTAATATACAAAAAAAACTAAGTTAAATAAAAACTCAGAAAGTAGTACTCTGCAAGCCACCTCCAAGAATATCTATCCCAATCTTTCTAACTGTGACGTGACATTTATGCTTTAATTGCTTTATTACTGTTATTTAAATCTGTTGAATTCAGATAGTCCAGAAACATTAAACATACTATACAGAAAATCACTCTCAAAACAGAGCATCTGCAAAGAAAACTGTTGTTATTATCATGTTAAAACAGACTTTATTTCCTTTTATTTTACCTGTGGCTCTCAGAGGTCTCTGAGATATTTTCTTCTTGAGCATTTAGTAAGATTTCAGACACTTGATACTGAGCCTCTAACAGAAGGAGGGTGTCTAGATTACAGCATACCACACTTAATAACCTATGTAAAAAGAAATAATAAAAAGTAGGTTTTATAAAATATATCCTAAAGATTTAGACTTTCTTGATGTCTTGAATATCTATTCATAAAATTACAAATTTTAAGAAAGATCAAATAGTTATTTCAGATATATTTTAATTGACTTGAATAGCAATTGACTTCAAAAGTTTTTCTTATGAAAATATTACTTAAAAACCATGGGTAACTTCTACTCAAGTTTTTTAAAAAATTTAAATCTAGAAATAGTAATTTTTTCTCAACTGCTAGTTAATTTAGAAGTTAATTAGCGAACATCAGCAAATTCATAAAAACAGCAAATTGCCATCACTTCTTTCCCCACAATTAGTTATAAAAGAAATAACAGAATCATTTTGCTACAATCCCGGGACTGTTTATGAGGTGAAATGTCAATGGATAACTTTATAATTTTCAGGTCAATCTGAGAACACCTAAATACACTGCTCTATCTTAACATTAAATAAAAGAGGGGTAAACAGAAGTCATGTGGCTCCTATTGCCATACAAGAAGATCCATGAAATACTCTTGCCAAGAAAACGGAAACTGAAACTAATCAATCCCAGGAGGATGCTCAGACAGAAAGCCTAACCCTCTCCTGCACCAGTGGAAATACAGCACAGCTGCAGGCGGATCCGCAGTTCTACTGTAGTTCTTAGTAGTAGAAGGAACAAGGCAGAACCAGTAGTTACAGACAAACCAATTATTAATTACTGGTTATTGGCTATAGAGACCAATTATTAATAAATAAAATTGACTTCCTCCATGGTAAGGTTAGCAGGGACAGCTCATAAAGGGACAAACACACACACACAAAACTTGTGTATATAGAAAAATGTCAGCTAACTGATAACATAACACTCTAACTTCTCTTCAACATGAAGGTTTAGGGAGAACCTAGTGACCTTTCTGTTTTCTTTTTAAAAAATATGTTTTTCTTTATTTAAGAGAGAGGAATGGAGAGTGAGAGAGGGATAGAAACATCAGTGATGAGAGAATCATTGACTGGCTGCCTCCTGCACGCCCCCTACTGGGTATCGAGCCCACAACCCAGGCATGTGCCCTGATACTGGGAATCAAACCATGACCTCCTGGTTCATGCGTCGGTATTCAACCACTGAGCCATGCCAGCTAGGCCCTTTCTCTTTTCTTTAGGCTACAAATTCAGTGAACAGGTAATGAAAATGACCCTCAATGTCCTCTAGTTTATGATTTGAAAGAAGGCTTCTATAGGCTCTAGAACTAGCATATCAAACTCAAAGGCTAACACGGGCCAAATAAATGAGACATGTGGCCCACGGGCCATGAGTTTGACATGTTTGATTTAGAAGGACAATGAGATGATTTAAGATGAACTGGGAGAAATTCAGAAAGCAAATAAATATCTGAGTTGAATTTTCTTCATTACAGAAGGAGTAAATCGAAACTTGAACAAATGATGTAAGACTTTTAAGATCTTACAAGTATTGGGAATAATGTAAAGCTTAGCAAATTTGATCCAGCAGTAAATTAAAAGAATAGTATACTGCGACCAAGTACAGTTCATTCCAGGAAGGAAAGGGTAGTCTAATATGAAAACGTTTCCTAATGTAATTCATGGCATCAATATGTAATAGAAAAGAACCACATAGTCACCTGACCAGATGCTTAAAAGCTACTTGATTTAAGATTCAACATCCACTCTCTGGTCCCTGTCCTCCAAAAAATGCTAAGTAAATTAAAGAAAGGTTACTTCTTTCATTTGATTTACAAAACAAATCTATCTCAAGGCAAGAGCTAAAAGCATAAACAGGAAAAGCATTCCCACTAAGGTCATGAAGAAGGCAAAGTCGTCCATTATTATTTAACAGTGTGTTCTAAAAGTTTAAGCCAATGCAAAGAAGATGGGAGAAGAAAAAATAGAAAGGCATGCTTTCTGAAAGGAGATAATGATATTCATTACTAGAGAATGATAAAACTGTTTATTCGGAAACTACTTCGTCCATGACATAAAATTAAATTTACTTAATTTTAAGAAATATTGGCTAAATACCTACTAAGTATCTACCACTGTTTTAAGTACATCACTGAACACACATGCACAAAAATCCAAGTCTGTATGGAATGCAAAATACTAGAGGAGGGGCACAGACAATGAACAAAATAAAAAGATAAAGCTAAAACAAAAGCTGGAAACGTGAACATAAAGTTCCAACAAGGGGGCAGTGTGGATGAATACCTGCATGCAGTTTTAAATAGGATGGTTAGGAAAGTCCTCACCAAGGTGACACTTCAGTGAAGACCTAAAGGGAATGAGGAAGCAAACCAGGAAGTGATGTGGGGAAAAAGGGTTCCAGGCACAGCAAGCAGCCTGAGCAAAGGACCTAAGGGGAGAGTACATCTGGCAGGTGTGAAGAACAGTAAGGGGGGCCACGTAGCTGAAGGGGAATAAATAACAAAGAAGTATGAGGAGGTGAGGCCAGAGTAATGTTAGGGGTCCAGATCACCCGGGACTCGGTAAGGCCACTGAAGCTTTTCTTTGATGGCACGAGAAACAGCGGAGTATGGCTTTATTCTATGAAATGAGTATAGGATTGAGGTGATCTGATTTGTATTTTACTAGGTTCACTCTGGCTGGGACAGAGGTAGAGAAACCAGTTTAAAACAAACAAAAAGTCGATAGTAAAAATTTAGATAACATAGTGGTTTAACACCAGGTATTGTCAGCAGATGATCTGTTAATTAAAAGAATGGCTCTGTGGTGGAATCCCCACACTCCTGGTACTCATGCCCTTGTGAGGTTCCCTCTTGAGTACAGGCAGGACTTGTGACTTTCCTCTGGTCACAGTATGTTAAGGTGACAAGATGATGTGATCACACCTTCTGCTGGCTTTGAAGAAGCAAGCAGCTGTGTTAAGAAAACGACACGGCAAGGACAACAGGTGGCTCCTAGGAGTTGAGGCAGCCTTCAACTGACAACCGACAAGGATTTCTTACCAGTGGGCAGCAAGAAAACGAGACCCTTAGTCCTAAAGCCATGAGGAAGTAATTCCAACAATATGCGAAGTTCGGAAACAGATCCTTCCCTAATTATATATATGAACAAGAATTATGGAGGGTGACCAGTAACAAAAAATAACTTATTTATATCAGTAATAACTAATTAAAATATGACCATGGAGAAATATATTAAAATAGCAAAAAATATAAAAGATAATAAGAAATACACAGAACCTATATGAAGAGAGCTCTACAATTTATCATTGGAGAATGTAAAAAAATTCAATAGAAAGACAGCACCTACCAGGATGAGATTAAATATTATAAAGATATACATTATTTTCCAATTCAGTTATGAATTTAAATGCACATTATGTAATAACTTAAAAATGTAAGGTTTTTATAGAGATCAACAAAATTCCTCCACTGATAACCTAAAATAACTCTTTAAGAGAGAATAAAATAAATGAAGATAGTGTCCTCCGTGGTCCCGGATCTGTCTCCTGCTTCAACAGAATTTGGAGAGAACAGACCCAGAGATGCCCCTTCTTCCAGCCTCTGACTACCCTGCAGCATCTTATCCAGTCACCACCTTCAGAACCACCTCCTAGATCAGCCAACACACCTTAACTCCTTATTGCTGAAAAACCATGCGCTCCCAAATGCATCAGAATTATTCCACCGAGGTAGAGGCCGCGGTCAACTACCTGGCCAGCTGCCTCTGCAGGCCTCCCACACTTGCCTCTCTCTCTGGGCTTCTATCGCCACCTCGACAATGTAGTTCTCAAGGGCATGGGCCACCTATTCCAAGAGTTGGCGGAGAAGCTCGAGGGCTCTGAGCATCTCTTAAAGATGCAAAATATGAGGTACTTAGCATATTCTAAATTGGGGAGATATATAACATATTTAGTCTCACAATAACTCTGTGGGAAAGGTAGAGTTACACTCCATTTCCTATATGAGGAAGTAGAGGGATGGAGAGGTTCAGAATCTTGCCTAACATCACTCTGGCAATGTGGTTTCAGAATCCATGCTCTTAACCACCGGGTGATGCTGCCACATACTGGGGAATGTAACATACGGCTACAAAAGACAAAGACCTCTATGGAAAGAAGAACATTTTAATGACAGTAATTAAAGAACACAATTAAGGAACACAATTTAAATGGAGACATTTGCCACGTTTACAGATTGGAAAGCTCAGTATTATAAAGATGTCAATTCATTCAATCCAATGGTAATTAAAATCCCAGTGGGCTAGTTTGTGTGAGAAGCTGCTCCTAAAATTTATGTGGAGAGAAAAGGACTAAAAGTAGCCAAGATATTTTTGAAAACTGGAAAACCAGACATAACTCAAATGTCCATTAACAGCATAATACATAACAAAAGACAGTATATGTATACCATGAAATATACAGCAATCAAAATAAATCCATTAAAATGTATGCAACATTAATCTTAGAAAACATAAGGCAACAGAGAAAAGGTCAAATATGACAGGATATATAGTCAATGGTACCAATATTATAAAGTAAAAAACAAAAATAAAATATATTGTTCAGGAATACATAACTAGGTAGTAAAAATATAAAGTAAATAAAAAAAATAGAATGTAAATACCACAAAAGTCAAAATTGTGGTTATTACTGGGGACAAGGGAGGGAGTCATGATCAAACAAATGCATAGTGCTAGCTCTCTTTATTTACTTGGTTGGGATTAAGTGGACATTTATTTTACAACAAATTGTTAAGCTGTATGTTTATTTTATGCAAGATTTACGTTTTCAATATTTAATTTAAAAATTAAGTGTTATACTAAGGTAGGTAATGGGGAAAGATATTTCACTATACCCAAAAGAAGTATACATGTGTATTAAACAAATGAACAAATTCAGAATACTAATAAAAGAATGCATACTTTGATATTAGATTATGCATAAAGATTCTTGTAAGACCTGATAACAACTAATGCCATTTAACATTAAATTATGCAACTGTATAATAAACAGATCTTAATGACTCATTAATTATACCAGCATATTTGTATAAGCTAGCAGCTAGTGTAAACATGAAAAGAAAAGTAACTATAAGATCATTTTATTTCTTTAGCCTAACCATAATATTAAGGCTAGGTTTACAAAGTGAACAGATTATTTTATATACACTAATCTAGAAAAAATGTCTCAAAATTTACATATTACTGAGGTTTATAAGCAATAAATTATAAAGTTCAATTTTTGTTAGTCCCAAACCAAATTTCCCCAAGTTATGAAAAAAGATTCTGCTCCTTACTTCTCACATAAAGCAAACTGTTCATATCAAGAAGTATTCCAAAGAAAGTAAACAATTATCTGAGGTCAATCCAAATTCATGGATAAACTAGATAAAATTTTAATGGTATATTTTTGTTCTTTTATGGACAGAGATAAAGTATTAAAAATAATTTAAACTACATTTATGTAAAGATATCAACAGTTACACAGGCAAATTTCAGAAGTATTTGTGTGTATGTGTGTGTGTGTCTTTGTCAGGATACAATTAAAAATAGATTAACTTTGTCCTGAGCGGCACTGCTCAGTGGTTAAAGCATCGGCCCAAGAACTGAAGGGTCCCAAATCAATTCTGGTCAAGGCCATGTACCGGGGCTGCAGGTTCCCCACCCCAGTTGGGATACATGCGGGAGGCAATCGATTGATGTGGCTCTCTCTCATCGATGTGTCTCTCTCATCTCTCCCCTTACCCTCTCCCTTACCCCTCTCTAAAATCAATAGAAGAAATACCCTCCAGTGAGGATTAATAAAAAAAATAGATTAACTTTATCCCTGGCTGGATAGTTCAGTTCATTAGAGCATCTTCCGGATGTGCCAAGGTTGCAGGATTTTGTGCTAAACATTAAGACTCAAATTGCTCACTGCTCTTAAAAGATAATATATGCATATTAAGAATATAACATTAATATTAACTTAAGCTGACCCTACTAGTATATACTCTTAATGAGCTTCTTATGCACTGCAAAAATGCTCCTAAGATGTTTCATTGTATAATCCCAAATAATTTACAAACATCCAATTTATCACTGTAGCACCACAGACAGCCGCATAAATTGTTGATGCTTCCCAGCAGACATCAATGTATCTTTGAATATGCACCAACAAGCATAACTAGCATAATCTAGTTATAAGCAAAAGAACAGTCCTGGGCTAGATTGTTCTATTATCAATTGGTCAGGATATGAGGTGCACCAGCTCACACAACCATGTTTGTGAGCCCTCGATAGGTTCCCTGTCACTGCTGACTGGAGGAGAGCCCACCGTGCCCTAAGTGAGCCATGATGCCAAGAGTTCCGCAGTTGAGCCTGAGGCCCTGATATCAACAGGAAGATACAGACATTGTTCTGCCTCAGTTGCAATGGGCGCCTCCCAATCTAGTCTGGAAATGGGCATTTTATATCACTACAAAGCTAGATTTTGAAATACAACACACAGTATAATTTATTTATCTTTCCCCTCCCCCGCTTTCCAACTCCTTACCCCTAAGTGATTTAAAAATTGCAAGGTCATGATTTAAAGGTTGATAATTCCATATCTTTAAATCTTAGGACAAAGAATTTAGAATTTTTAGCATTCAGCAACAAAATATAGTACATGTGGACTCTGGATCAATACTTCATAATCAAACACATTAATATTTCTTTGGAAAAAGATGTTTATATTTAAATCTGTCAGGTTAAATAAAAACTATAAAATTTTACATCATTTTAGGTAAGATTAGTTACAAATAGAAAAATACATTATAAAAAAATTTAATTTCTTAAAACTTTTTCTGAACTTCAGTATTTCAAATCAGAGATTGTGGCACTTGAACCTGATAATGCCAGCAGGCAGTCTGACTCCACAGTCTTCGTTAATACTATAATGCATGACTCAACTACTAGTATATGTATCAACAATGGAATGGCAAACTTTCTAGTGTAGGATAGATTGACTCCATTTGGATATTATGAGAAAGCGCACACTATGAAAATTAATGTATTTTATTCCCAGGAGCATTTTACTTCTTGGATTGCTTTGTACATGACTTAATGTCCTATTGTTAGAGTTTTTGCCAGAAGAATAATAAAAATACTATTCTATCAAAAAAATGCAGAAAAGGGAAGAAATTCATTCAATATATCAATAACAAGAGGCCAAAATCTATGTTCTATCATTACAAAACTCAGGCACGTACTTGTTATGCAAAAGGAGGTTCTACTGAATGGATTTTTCCTAATATTCCTCATCACAGGTTGCTATATGATATATCTGATGTCCTACACAGAAAGTTAAAATTTAATGTGAAATTAATTTAGAGATAAAGTGCACATGATCCAATGAATTATAACAGCTGCAGCTTTTTTTCTATCTCCTTTGAACTATTAATGAATGGTTTAATTAAGCACAGCTATTAATGAAAAGTTTCAGAACAAGATCTATAATATATATGTTTCAGTACAAGATCTATAATATATACTACTATCAGAGAATTCTCATTTTAGAAAATTGCTTTATTTCTTAGATAGAGCATTCTCCCTGACCCACTCCCTCATGCCCAAAAAAATTTATTTTGCTAGTAGAAAGAAGAAAAAAATCACAAACCTAGGAAAATTTCTTTAATTCAGCTGCTTTTCAAGGTAGTAATTAGTAGATAAGAAAGCAAGTTATATGTCTAAATATGATCAAAAGAGTAAGAATTTATGCACCTCTATAGTCCAAACAAACACTTCTACTCCCCCTCTCACCCCAGCCATTTGAACATGCTAAATAACATCTTAAGAAACATACACTCAACCAGAAAGATTTAAAACTTGGGACACTGAAATTAAATAATATGATTAACATAAAAGAGCAGAATGTGGGCCTCAAGAGAAATGGGGTATTTCTGAGCCTCTTTTAAGACTATATTATGGCAGGAGTCCAATCTAATACGAACCCAGGAAGCCCCAGTTGACTCCTGAGTAAACTGAATAGTCTTCAAAAAGTCTCTAGTAAATCTAACAAAAGTGGAAGACACTGTAATAATATAGAAGCTAAACGTGGACAATGGCCTTAACATAAAACCTAATGGCTATAATCTACTTCATGTGTAATATTACAGGAAGATAAATTACCTTTAGGTATGCTTTAAAGTAGTTTATTTTAAATATTTTTGAAAGTATATAGAACATATTTTTTGCATGCTTTTGCAACACTGAAATATTTCTCAAGTAAAATTTAGCACCTTACCTTAGGCCAAAGATGTGTGATTGTTCATAGTTGAATAAAGAACGGATCTTAGCTTCAGAATTCAAAATTATAAGTCTATCAATAATATCCTGAAAAAGAAAGCCTTTGAGTGAGACTGTGCTTGACTGAAACCATTTAAAGAAAATCAAATCAACAAATATTTATTTAGATTTGTGGTTCTCAAATTTGGCTTTACATTTTAATCACCTAGGGAGCTGTTAAAAAAAATACCCAAGTCTCATTCCTAAAGATTCTGAATTAACTGGTTTGGGTATAATCTGGACATTAAGATTTGTGAAAGTTCCTGAAATAAATGATCTAATGTTTAACCAAAGTGAAGAAATACTAATTTATATTCCACTAGAGGTCCGATGCATGAAATTTGTGCAAGAGTAGGCCTTCCTTCCCCCGGCTGCCAGCACCGGCTTCCCTCTGGTACCTGAGACCCGGGCTTCCCTCGTAGCCCCAGGTCTGCCCGGAAGGTCATCCGGACATCCAGTCTAATTAGCATATTACACTTTTACTATTATAGATTCTAGCTTATGAAGCCAGTTAAATACTGACTAAACTGCTAAAAATGTAAATTATTTTGAAAAACAAATATGAAATCTTCAAATGCAAAGCATGAACAGATTTGAATAGTTTTATCTAATAACTATTTGAGATTTCGTTAATGTATAATCTCTGTCTATGTAAATCAGTGGTTTCCAACACTGTTTAAACATTGGAATCACCTAGGGAACCAGATGATAGATAGATGACAGATGATAGATAGATGATAGATAGATAGATAGATAGATGATAGATAAGATAGATAGATAGATGATAGTATATCCAGGCTCTAGCCTAGAACAACTAAGTTATTATCAGTTGGGGTATGATTCTGGCATTAAAATTCTTTTAAAAGCTCTCCAAGTTGTTGCAATGGGTAGCCAGGCATAAACATCACTGATGCACATGTACGGAAAACCTGATGACTACGTGCCACCAGTTGCCCCAAACATTGACAATTTCAGCCTACCACACAATTTTGAGCACTCTATAAAAGCCTTTCTTCCTATAATGCCCTCCTTTTTGAGTTCAGGCCTAAGAAATGTATTCATAGACAAACACTTGTTTCTCAAATTGCTCATTTTCCTCACCAAAAAAAATTGCTTCCCTCCACTGTGTTTAAAATCAAGATAATTCTGTGACCAACAGGGCAAAGAAGGAAGGTTTTGCTAGGGAGTCAAGTCACATAATATATACTGATGTCTATGTGGGTGATAGAACAAATGTTATCAAATAAACAATAGGCCAGGGAATGAGTTTGTTAGGAGGATATAATAGTTCAAAATCACATTTTAAAAATACTGATCAAAACATAGCGAAAACCAGATTGTATGTAAACTTACCCAGTAAAAGTTTATACCTAACACTTAGGAATGCATTTACCATTCTACAGATATCTTGTAAAAAATGTGTAAATAATATTAGCACAAGAACTTACAATCATCAAATATTAAATAAATGCCTAATAATCCTAATATATAAAGAGCCAGGGTCCGTAACCAAACGGATGACTGAACGCCAGGCTGCACGCAGCAGGCTCGGGTGGGCAGGGACTGGCAAGCGGGCTGAACTGCTGACCTCTCGGTCCCTCCTGGGTCACAGGCGCTTCAGCGACCCAGTACTGACTGCCGCCGCCAAGGCGGGTGCGATGTGATTGGTCAGGGGGCCCTGCCATCACCCCACGATCGCCCTGCAGAGGGAGGCCCAGGCCATTGGCTGGGGGGCTCCGAGATCGCCCTACAGAGGGAGGCCCAGGCTACCTGGCCAGCGGCGGTGGGCAGGGCCTCCCTCTGCGGGGCAATCAATCGCGGGGCTCCCGGACTGTGAGAGGGCACAGGCTGGGCTGAAGGACGCCCCCAACACAAACCCAAATGCACGAATTTTGTGCACGGGGCCTCTAGTCAAGAATAAAAAAGATTGAGATCTTAATATAATCTGTCATTATTGTCTGCTGCTTTAGCTGGACATTCCTTGTTTCAAACATTGTGACAGAATACAGTTCATTCATATTCCCAGCTTCGTATTTATATTCTCATTTCCTGCCCCACTGCTTTCTCCCTCTCTTTACTAACTTCCGCACTCTGACAGCCCTGAGGTAGCTCTGGTGACAAAGCCGCAGAGATCTCCTTGACTTTGCCCAGGCACCTGGATACTACCAAGTAAGTAATCATTGCAGTAGACACATGGAGAAACTTGTATGCTATGTAGTTCTTTAAATAGTATTTGTTCAAATAGGTACACACTTTTAGTGCTTAATATTATAAAATTTAAGAAATGATCACTATCACTTTTTTCCATAGTAAATCTTCACAGAGTGATCTGGAATTGATCATGTATCACTAGCTTTCTTTTGCCTGAGAGGAGGGAGACTGCCGATTAGTCCTGTGCATAGCGGTTTCTGAAAGGATTATTATAGATTTCTCTTTATTCATAGGGTACTGGTCCAAGTGACTGAAACTGGAACAGTCATCTGATTACTAAATTCAGACTATTTGATAGTCAATGATACCTAGTGACTCCAAAGTTCTAGCTTTGAATCTAAGTACTAGATACTGTAAGAATAAAGAAATATAGAATGTATTACCAACAAGCTAATGGAAGAATAGATTACAGCCATCTATCAGTGACAATGCATTTTCAGAAAACAAATGCTACAGTAAATAATTTCTTCTTCAAAGGGGATTGCATTGATGGATCACCACTTAGGGAACAGAACACAACTCCCGGGAAGCCTGCCTTCTGGAGAACTTCAGTTTCTAAGCACAGCAGCGCGTGTCAGGGAGGCAGCCTCCTCCACCAGCAGCTTCCCAGCAACAAGCGAGTACAAGGCTTGGGATTCACAAAAATAGTCTGAAACTGTCTTTTTTAAAGGATATTATCTAGCTTGAGAATATATTCAATAAGCCTTAGGCTGAAATGAGACCAAGACTAGAAAAACAAAGAGGAATATCTCTTCTATGTAAATAATACATTTGAGTGCCTACTCCGTGTACACTTGTCTCAATGACCATGTGTGTACTATCTGACCCTTTTCACTTAAGAAAGGGCCAAGTGGCCCTAACCGGTTTGGCTCAGTGGATAGAGCGTCGGCCTGCGGACTGAAGGGTCCCAGGTTCGATTCCGGTCAAGGGCATGTACCTTGGTTGTGGGCATATTCCCAGTAGGGGGTGTGCAGGAGGCAGCTGATCGATGTTTCTCTCTCATCGATATGTCTAACTCTCTATCCCTCTCCCTTCCTCACTGTAAAAAATCAATAAAGTACGTTTTTTAAAAAAAAAAAAAAGAAAGAAAGAAAGGGCCAAGTGAAGGGTGAGAGTGGTCAATCATAATGCCAATATCCCTGCATCTGCACTATTAGGAGTGGCCTGTGACTGGTTAGTCCCTGAACATCCATAAACAAACTTGGTCTGTTAAGGAAGGTGCTTCCTTGGAATTATTCAAAGCGGGGAGTTTCTCTGTCCACTCTGGCTGTTATAACAGAATCCCACAGACCGGGTACCTTATAAACAATAGAAATCTTATTTCTCACAGTTCTGGAGGCAGGGAAGTCAAAGATCCAGGTGCCAGAAGATTCTGTGTCTGATGAGGGCCTACTTTCTGGTTCATAGACAGTTATGTTTTAACATGGAAGAACGGGCAAGGGGCCTAACGCAGAAGTGAGCATGATTGTGCATGAAGGGACCTCAGTTTTAGCAAATAAAATTGTAATTATGTAAGAAGAAAAAAGAAGGGGCAAGGGATTCCTCTGGGGTCTCTTTTTATAAAGCACTAATCACCTCCTAAAGGCCCCACCTCCAAACAGCACCACCTGGGGAATTGGGTTTCAACACAAGAATTGAATATTCAGTGTACAGCAGAGCGGTGGAGGAAAATGCCCCTCTTCTGTTTGGAGGGTTAGTGAGTTAAATCCTGATATTGTTCCCACCCCCCAAAAAGATGTGTCTATGTCCTCATTCCCAGAACCTATGATTGTTACCCTGTTTGGAAGAAGGGTCTTTGCAGAGGTAAATAAATTAAATTAGGACCATCCTGGGTTATACAAGAAAGACAAGGAGAGATTTAAGACAGAGGAGGAGAAGGCCTTGTGAAAATAGAAGCAGAGAGTAGAGCTATGCAGCAACAAGCCACAAAATGCTGCAACACCCAGAAGCTGGAAGAGGCCAGGAAGGCGTCTGCCCTGGAGCCTTTGGAGGGAATGTGGCCCTGCTGACCTCTTTCTTTTGGACTTGTGGCATCCAGACTGTGAGAGAAGACATTTCTGCTGTTCTAAGCCACCTGGTTTGTGGTAATTTGTTATGAAATCTCTAGGAAATTAATACAAGGGGAGATAGTAACAGGTAGTCCCAGGTCCTCTCCCATTGAGAATGCCATCTGGAGAAGAGCTTACTAATGATAATTACAGCAAACAGTTATTTAGCAGCTACCTGCCAGGCAGTGATTTAACATTTTATGTTTCACTTAATTCATGTAATTGTCACAACCCCTCAAATAGGAATGTTATTGCTCACTTTTAACAGGAAAAAACTAAGGTCTAACTTGTCCAAGGTCACAGAGCTTTTAAGGGGCAGAACCAGAAATCTAATCCAAGCAGTCTGGCTTCAGAAAACAAACTTGTAACAACTACACTATCTAATGCCTTCCAATAAAGCCACAATGGAGAACACAAGACAGAGGGAAAGAGAAGTCCACGAAAGGAGACCACGCAGGAGACACCAGAGAAGTCTGAAGGGAACCAGAAGCAGTACCACAATCACAGAGGAGAGTGACAATGAGGACTGGATCAACTGTGCCAAATGCCGCAAGGTGGTAAATTAAGTTCAAGGAAAGACGGGCACATAAATGGCTTATTATAAAACTACTTTAGAAACACAATCATGCAAGTAAGCACAAGTTAAAATGGACACACTTCAAGGAACAGAGAATATAAAATAAAAGTTGAATGAAAGAAGTACCTATTTTTATATTTTAGTCATATAAATTATCAAAAATTTCCCAAAGTAGAGAAAGTTTAAAGAAATTAAAATGTTTAGAGTTAACAAGAATTAAAAGTATTTATAAGAGCAAAACTGTGTAAAAAAACACCACCACACAGGACAAGTGACCAGAAAAATAAAAAGTAAAGATGAATAATGGAATTTCAGTATTAACCAAACAATTCTTTACTAATGAATATATACATATTTATGTGTGTTAATCCAAAAACTTACCCAAAGATGAGGAACTGAATATCTCTGGATGATTAAAACAAGCCCATCTGGGAGCAAGATTATGAAATAAATCTCAAATTAAATAAATATGTATATACTGCCCTCATGGGGCAGTTAATATGTAGTTCATTAAAATATAAGGAGAAAACATATTGCACTCCTCAAATACAACTTATTCCTAATTATCCCAGCCAATAAGAGAGCAGCACTGGTGTGACTAATAACATGATAAGTCATCTAAAAATCATTCGTACACATATGTTATTTGTGCCAAATCTCTTTCCTTGGGAGTGTTAACGTTGTATTCACTCTGATAGGTGTTGCAACTGTTAGGTGGCCTGGATCAAAGATTCCATTGGCAGATAATTCAGAAACTGATATTCCATGAGTAAGTAAATCAATCTTTAAATGCCATTAAATAGTGTTCCTTTTTTTCTGTCATTTTTTTTTCTGTCAAATTGCTTTTTCACTACAAATCTCCAAAATATCATCTATAAAAGGGAAAAGTTAAAAGAAAATTACTTACAATAATACATGTAGGAACTTCACGAAGAGAATATTCTGCTTTATTAGGAAGATCTTGATTGCCTACCAGCTCATAAATAGCAGGATAAGATAACAAGGTCACCAGCCCTAGAAAAGACTGGGGGAAGTGGGGGAGAAGGAAAAGTCATTTAAATGGCTCATTTTTTTCAACCACATCCACAGGAGAATCATTAGTGTCAAGTTTTATAGCAGTATGACTGCAAGAATTTTTTAAATAAGCCAAATTAATCCACATAAGTGTGAAATACATACATATATGATAAGAACAAAATAGTTAACATAACAATAATCTGTGTTGATAATGCGTAAGGACGATTGTAATAGAACAACCTTGAGAGTTGGAAAATATTTTAAAATATCATGTATCTCTTAAAAAGTGTGGTTCTGAGAAAAAATATTAAATGATCCATATTTCTCATTCTTTGCATTTGTTATATCTGATGTGTAAGAAAATACCAGAGAATACTACTTAGGGTCTCTGGAGCAAGAAAATAAATTCTATATATCCTTCACTTAGGTCACAAAGCCATCTTTATCCTTTAACTACATTCAGTGGAAATCCAACTACCCTAATTGTAATTAATTTTTTAAAGCCATGGCTTTTCCTATCAAAATCAGCTCATTTTCTGGTGCAATCTTCCCAAATTAATCTCTCTGTGAAGTTTTTAAGCTCCCAATCTCATTTTGCCTTATTCAAGACAACCTGAATGTTTTTTCTCAGGCACCTTTCATTCTTTGGGTCCCCTATGCAAAAGCATGCAGTGGTTGCCCATCACTAAACATCAAATCTAAACTCCCTTCCATGACTTTCAAGGCACTTTACTAATTGACCCTCTCTTCTCTCAGTCTCAAAAGCACATTATTCCTCAGCATGAAGTCACCACTTCAGTCAATCGAATCTGCCTGTGGTCTTTTTCTTTTTTAATATATTGTTATTGATTTCAGAGAGGAAGGGAGAGGGAGAGAGAGAGAAAACATCAATGGTGAGAGAGAATCATTGATTGGCTGCCTCCTGCTCGTCCCCCACTGGGGATAGAACCGCAACTGGAATCGAACCCGGGACCCTTCAGTCTGTAGGCGGATGCTCTTTCCACTGAGCCAAACCAGCTAGGGCCCTGTGGTCTTTTTCAAGTGACTGCCATGTAAACAAACTTTTCTTATCCAGGAACATGCTCCTCCTACCCTCCCACATACTCATTATTGCACTTCATGAGCTTTCTCATCCTTTTTTTCTAGAAGGCTTTCCAATTAACTCTATCCACCTCTAGAAGCCCTATATTTTGCCAATACTTTCATGTTAGTTTGTATTGTATCAACTGTACTAATTTGTAACTATTAAATTTCCTGCTTGTCATTTTTTAAATTTTTTACTAAACTCAGAAAATTTAAGAATCAGACAAATTGAGTAAACAAATTTTAGGTACAATATTTTTCCATGAAAAGTTAAAGATTTATGTTTTTCAAAGATAGCATTATCAGATTGAGGATTAAATCTGATGAGTTTTATAAATGGGTATTAAATTTTCTCAAATGCTGTTTCCACTTCTATTGAAATCATTGGATGAGATTTCTCTTTATTCTGTTAATATGGTGAATTAGAGTTTCATTTTAGAATGCTAACCGAACTTTGAATGGCTGGGATAAACACCACTTGATCATAATAAATGATCATTTTAGATATTGCTAGATATAATTTGATAATCTTTTGTTAAATATTTTTAAGTCTATATTCATCAGAAATATTAGTCTGCACTTTTCTTTTTTGGTAACATTTGTCTCATTTCCAGGTCGGGGTTATGCTGGTCTCATGACACAAGTTAGAAACTGATTTCTCTACCTTTGTTTTCTGAAAGAATATGTGTGTGATTGGGACTCTATCTCCTATAAAATTTCATAGAATTCACTGGTGAAACTATCTGGTTTTCTTAGCCAGAGGTTTTGGTAACAAATTGAATTTCTTTAACTAATATGTAGCAATTTAGATTTTCTGTTTTATATTAGGTCCATTTTGGTAAGCATATTTTTAAGAAGTCTGCCAATTTTATCTTAGTTGAATTCATAACATAAAGCTGATCATACTATTCCATTATTGTTCTTTAATATCTGCCCAGTCTCCAGTGGAGCACCAACTGATACCTGTCCTTGGGCAAATATATCTGTTAAATCTAGAATCTCAAGCAGTACAATTCTCTTCATCTGTATTGACTCCCTTCCATTTCTTGTCTGTTCATTGCTATTCCAAAAAAATCAACTTATTTTTAAGTTATTTTTCCTGAGTTGTGTTTTCTACTGGAGGGGACTAGTCTACCACTACAGAAAGCAGATTTTTTTTCTTTTAATTTTGATAATTTTATGATACCATTTGAATGAAAATTTCTCAGGCTATCACAAAGTCAAAGTCAGGAATCATCATTTCATTTTAGTAAAACTATGTGAACATGTTAGATATGTAAAAGCCATCCATAATAATAAAAGTGTAATATGCTAATTAGACCAAACATCCTTCCGGATGTCCTTCCGTCCTTCCGGACAAAGCCAGGGCTGCGAGGGAAGCCCAGGTCCTGGGTGCCTGTGGGCGGCCAGAGGGAAGCCCGGGTCCTGGGTGCCAGAGGGAAGCCGGTGCTGGCAGCTGGGGGAAGGAAGGCCTACTCTTGAAAAATTTCGTTTGAATTATAGTTGAATTATAATAGTTGAATTATAATAGAACATTGTGGAGATGCTTAAGAGTTTGAGGTATTTTTGCCACATTATTCTAAATGATAGCATCTTCTCTCTGCCTACCCCTTCTTCAAATAATCTTAACAATTTTCTTTTCTTTTTTTAATCTTCACCTGAGAATATTTTTCCATTGATTTTTAGAAAGAGTGGAAGAGAGAGGGAAAGACAGAAAGAAACATCAATGTGAGAGAAACACATCAATCGGTTGCCTCCTGCACAAGCCCCAACCAGGGCCCAGGCCGGGGAGGAGCCTGCAACCGAGGTACGTGCCCTTGACCAGAATCAAACCTGGGATCCTTTGATCCACAAGCCAACGCTCTATCCACTGAGCAAAACCAGCTAGGGCACTGGAAATTTTCTATTAGATTTGAGTTTAAAAGCAAAAAACTGTCTTCTTTTATTTTGATCGGTTGGTTTTTGCGTCAGGGGTTTTTGTGTATTTTCTTGTTTTGTAACATGCTCTGGTGTTTATTACTCTTTATTAAGGAAGAAAATGTATAATAAAAATATTATGAAAAAAATCCTTCCAAAAATAATTCACAGAGAATGGTAGTATTTCTACCATTTACGAAATCCATTGTGATTTTTTTTTTCAATTTAGAAATGAAAAAAAAGAAAGAAAAAAAATTAGGAAAGGCTGCTGATTGTAATTGAATAAAGATAAAGTCTGGATAAATTAATTTCTGGGAGATACACTTAAAATCTGTACATTATTAGATAAATCAAATCATCTCTTACCTTTTGACAGCTTTGGTCAATAGGATCCACTGGAGTGGCTCTGGGATGGGTTACTCTAACATCATCTTTTCCACATTCCAGATTGGTCCATAATTCAGTTATAAGTGCATTAATGAACCCTAAAAAGAATTGTTTTCCATCATATTTATAGTATGCTATTTCTTTGGATTATGGAGGAAAGATACAATTATCCCTCTAACTAGATTGATTCACACTGACAAAAGATACATAACCTCTAACCTTGATAGAAATTATATTTGCTATTGTTAATATACCTTTATACCTCATTAACATAAAACTATGTTTAAATTCTGAAAGATAATTTTTCTATAGAACTGAATCATATGGAAATATGTAAAACAGAACATCAAATCATCAAATCAGAAATTTTATAGGAATGGCATTCGAGGAGAAAGTGTCCCCTAGGTATAAAAGAAAAAATATAGGCTCTGAAATTGAGAATATCACAGTTAAACTACAAAGCTGATAGCTTATCGGTGCATGACTTTAGAAAACTCCAAGGGTTGCCATGAAGTATAAATGGGATAGCTACAGAGTTCCTAATATAGTATCTAGGACATCTTAGGAACTCAAGCTGTTGGTCTTCCTTCCTTTGTCCTGTGAAAAATTACAATTAACCCTCTCATGAAAAGTTTGATATTATGAGGCTCAGAAGTTTAATGACTTAACCAACAAGGAAATCTGAGATAAATCTAGTCTTCAAATGCTTTCATTAATGTGCCCTGAGGACTGAATAAATTGGATTTTATTCTAGATAGAAGAGTAAGTGATTCAGCTTAGTACAACTTTTACCAGGAAACATGTTTCATACTAAAAGAAATTCAAAATAGTTCAGTTAAAAAACATTTAAAATATGCTATAGAAAAATATTTTTGCCGAAACCGGTTTGGCTCAGTGGATCGAGCGTCGGCCTACGGACTGAAAGGTCCCAGGTTCGATTCCGGTCAAGGGCATGTACCTGGGTTGCAGGAACATCCCCAGTAGGAGATGTGCAGGAGGCAGCTGATCGATGTTTCTCTCTCATCGATGTTTCTAACTCTCTATCTCTCTCCCTTCCTCTCTGTAAAAAATCAATAAAATATATTAAAAAATATATATTTTTTTATTTAATAAGAGAATCAACAGTGATCACTGATGTTATGATCCAACTCTAAGCCTTGAAAAATATAATCATAGCATCTCTAGTAGAGATTACATCTTGTCTCCAGTTCAGGGTTCAGATAATTTTAAGATACAGTATCTTAAATTCCCAATATTTGAACTTTTTAGAAATCCAATCCACAGTGGATAATACCTGCCAACTACAAACTGGCAAAGACAGTGGTGAAAGTTAAGTGGTGACAGGGAAGCTTTCAAGAAAGGAAGAGGAAAAGGGGAGTGAGGAAATGATATCTATATATATAAAAGCCTACTATGCAAACTGTCCCCGCGGGAGTTCGACCAAGAGACCGATTGCTTGCTATGATGTGCGTTGACCACCAGGGGGAGGTGCAGAAGAAAGGAAGGCCCCAGCCTGCAGCTGGCAGCCAGGGAAGGGAGGCCCAGGCCAGGAGATGGCAGCTGGGGAAGGGGGACCCTGGCCGGCAGCTGGCAGAAGATGAGGGCAACTTCTTAAAGCATCAAATATTTTCCAGTTTAGTTTATGATGTGCCATTGTTCTGAGGAAGGAGAACAATTCTGTATATATTTCACAGGAAAAGAAAATCCCAGTAGGATTTCCTTTTCCTAAACCTTGTTCATGGATTGGTAGAATCAACATCATTAAAATGTCCATACTACCCAAAGGAATCTATAGATTCAATGCAATCCCCATTAAAATAGCAATGGCATACTTCAAAGACGTAGTACAAATTCTCCAAAAATTTATCTGGAATAAAAAAAGACCCTGAATAGCTGCAGCAATCTTGAGAAAGAAGAACAATGTTGGAGGGATCACAATGCCAGATATCAAACTATATTACAAAGCCACTGTTCTCAAAACTACCTAATACTGGCACAATAACAGACATATAGACCAATGAAACAGAACAGAGAACACAGAAATTGATCCAAGTCATAAGGCTCAATTAATATTTGACAAAGGAGGAAAAAGCATACAATGGAGTCAAGACAGTCTCTTCAATAAATGATGTTGGGAAAATTGGATAGATAGATGCAAAAAAATGAAACTAGACCACCAACTTACACCATACACAAAAATAAACTCAAAATGGCTAAAGGACATAAACTTAAGACGGGAAACTATAAAAATCTTAGAGAAATCCAGACAGCAAAATATCAGACATATGTCGTAGCAATATCTTTACCGATACAGCTCATAGGACAATGGAAACGAAGGAGAAAATAAACAAATGGGACTACATCAAAATAAAAGGCTTCTGCACAGCAAAAGAAGCCATTAACAAAACAATAAGAAAGCCCACTGCATTGGAGAACATATTTGCCAATGTTATCTCTGATAAGGGTTTAATCTCCAAAATTTATAGGGAACTCATACAACTTAACAAAAGGAAGATAAACAATCCAATCAAAAAATGGGCAAAGGACCTAAACAGACACTTTTCAAAAGAGGACGTACAGAAGCCAAGAGACATATGAAAACATGCTCAAAGTCACTAATCATCTGAGAGATGCAAATCAAAACAACAATGAGGTACCGTCTCACAGCTTCAGAATAGCCATCCTCAACAAATCAACAAATGACAAGTGCTGGAGAGGATGTGGAGAAAAAGGAACCCTCTTGCACTGCTGGTGGGAATGCAGACTGGTGCAGCCACTGTGGAAAACATTATGCAGTTTCCTCAAAAAGTTAAAAATGGGACTTCCATTTGACCCAGTAATCCTACTTCTAGGAATATATCCCAAGAAAACAGAAATACCAATCAGAAAGGATCTATGCACCCCTATGTTCATAGCAGCACAATTTACAACAGCTAAGATTTGGAAACAGCCTAAATGCCCATCAGCTGACGAGTGGATTAGAAAACTGTGGTACATCTATACAAAGGAATACTATGCTGCTGTAAAAAAGAAGGAATAATTACCATTTGCAACAGCATGGATGGAACTGGAGAGCATTATGCTAAGTGAAATAAGCCAGTGAGAGAAAGATAAATATCACATGATCTCACTCATTTGTGGAATATAATAAACAACATAAACTGATAAACAAAAATAGAACCAGAGACACAGAAGCATTGAACAGACTGTCCAGCCTATGAGGGAAGGCAGAGGGTGAAGGGGTAAGAGATCAACCAAAGGATTTGTATGCATGCATATGAGCATAACCAATGAACACAGACAGTAGGGAGGTGAGGGCATGTGCTGGGGGTGGGGGTGGCCGGGGAGAGGTCAATGGTGGAAAAGGGAGACTCATGTAATACTTTAAACAATAAAGAATTTAAATTAAAAAAAAAAAGAAACCCTGTAACTTTTTTTGACCTAAGGCCTAATGTGGGAAAAAGAACTTCAGAGTAGTATGCTGATACTTGACAATGCCAATTAAATTTTCCATTGGCTTACTCATTATATTTAAATGATTATAATTCTAACTAGAAGCCCGATGCACGAAATTCATGCAAGGGGCTCGGCCCTCACAGCCCCAGCTGGCTCGCTGCCCTGGCTGCCTTGCGCCCCTGCAGCCCCGCCCCCCGCCCACTGGTCGTTCCGGAAGGTCGTTCTGGAAGGTCATTCCACCATCTGGTCTAATTAGTATATTAGCTCTTTATTATATAGGATTAAAAGAAAAAACGTACCTGAACTTTGTAGTGCTATTGTACCTGCTGCTGTTGATGCCACTTGGGTAACCAAAACTCCATAGTCAAACTTTTTATGCCTGCTGATCTAAACAGCATAAATAAGGAACAACCGTGAGAGGCAGGAAAACATAGCATGCTAATATTTACTTACCTGTTACACGTAGAGTTACTAATTTTTTATATTAAAATACCAGACAAAAAAAAAAACAAAAAAAAACAAACAAATAAAACCCAGAGATTATTTCAAGTAAAGATAAGAGTGGCAAAAACAAACAGAAACTATCATAATTGAGTTAATACTAATGTAATATTTTTGACAACTTAATTTCAGATCTAGGTTCTTGTCCCAGCCATGTAACTAAGTAGCTTTTTGACCTTGAACAAGTCACTTCTCTCTCTAGGTCTAACTCTCTTCATACATAACATAAGGGACTTTGACAAGATGTAAAGTAAGATTCCTTCCAATTCCAAATTCTATTATCTTAATTTGTTAGATTAGTTCTTCAAGGATAAATTTTCTCATCAATAAAACTGTATTGACTGCCAGTTTTTTAACTGGGCTTTTAAGTAATCAAACAACTTTAAAAAGTACAATGGTATCTTCTTAAAAATTATAATTACTTTTTAAAAATATATATATTTCTTTATTGATTTCAGAGAGGAAGGGAGAGGAGAGAAACATCAATGATGACAGAGAATCATTGATTGGCTGCCTCCTGCACACCCCCCTACTGGGGATCGAGCCCGCAACCCAGGCATGTGCCCTTGGCCGGAATCAAACCTGGGACCCTTCAGTCCACAGGCTGACACTCTATCCACTGAGCCAAGCCAGCTAGGGCAAAAAGTTATAATTACTTTTAAAGGCAATATGATTTGTTTTTCCTAAGGGAGGCATATATATATATATATATATATATATATATATA